CCCGCGATCTCCGCGAGCTCTACGACTCCCGTCTGCCACAGGTCGAAGCCAGACTCCAAGTGATCCGCTCCAAAGTCTCGCTCATCGACCCGTCCAATCTGCGGACCGCCCCTGTGCGCTTCCGCGAGAACGATTGGGTTGTTGACTCGTGGGGCTTCCTCCGCAGAATCTTGGAAACACCGGCCGCCGACGCCTTGTCTGTGCGCGTGAAGCCCTACGTGTTCCGCCTCCACGGTCAGGTTGTGGTGCCCAAGCACATCCTCTCAGCCAGGCTCCCGCTAGCTGAACTCACCCCAGCAGTGGTCTCGGATTGGACCTCTCCGTCTGCCAAGCCCCACACCAAGAAAAGCGACCTGCTGATGCAGCTCGCTGAAGCCTATCCTCCACCAAAACGCCCTGAGGTCGAAGGATTCTTCTTTGGCTCTCTGATGCGTCTCGACGTTGACCCAACCCGGCTGCAGCTGCGTGGCAAACCCGACAACATGTATCGCTCGCTCTGCATCGACAAAGACCTAGACGACCTTCGCCGCACCGCAAATCGCTCCAGGAGGACGATGCTCGAAAGCCGCCATCCCTCTGAAATTGAGAATGCCCGCTACTGGCTGGCACTCTACCCCAAACACATCGAGGAGTGCAAAAAGCGCGCGCACATTGTGCGATGCACCTCATCTGACGCATCGCTGTGCAATCTTCGCCACATGCTCACGCCCGCCCCGGTCAAACCAACTGCCCTGGTCGAGTGGGAGCAAATCCTAGGACCCGTGCACTGGTCCAAACTGCGCCGCAACATGATGACCAATCTTGTCCCGCGCAACCGTGCCGGCCTCATCTGGCGCATCGCTCACAACACCGAGTACCTGGGTGAGATTCGCCTGCTGTCTCGCCGCGACAAGCTCACCAACGAACAACTCCGCGAGGAGTCACACAGTGGCGCGTTCGCCTGCGTCCACTGCTTCCGACTTCAGGGCACCCGTGCCCCTCTCGAAAACTGGCTGCACATGATTGTCCACTGCCCCCTGGCTGTGGCGGTCTGGCGCGAGGCCGAAACGCTGTTCAGCCACGCGCAAGGCCCCTGGTTCCCTAGACAGCGTTCGCAATGGCTCTTTGGCCCTATCAAGAACAAACGCTACCACGCCTTGATGAAAGACGAAGCACTCGCTTGCCTCACCATCGTCATGCACACTGCCCGCTGGACTCTCTGGACGCTGCGCTGCACTGCCAAGTTCGACAACACAGTGTTCACCCCCGCCGACGCGGTCCTCCGCTTTCGGTACCTCATCACCCTGGCAGCGCGCCTCGAGCACTCTACCAAACCCCTCCCCAATCCCTGGAGGACTGACGACGACGGCGACGACTTTGGCGCCGCCCCTCTCCATACTGATGAGCAAGAGCATCCCCCCTTCGAAAGCAGGTGGGGAAAGGCTTTTGAAATCCGGTACAATGAACGTCTTTCCACACAACTGTTTGCCCTCGCGTACACCTAGTACCCGCAAATTGTGTGTAAAGCGGTTGACCGTTTCTGAATTGTCGCTCCTTACGACAGTGTGCTGTCCCACCGCCTGCCAGCCGTCTACTTGTTTGTGAACCGTGTTGGCTAGCAACATGTCTTTCGTGGTGTATAGGTGGGGAATGCCTGATCCTTCCATTGTCAGCCCGGCTGATCATCTGTTCGAGTTCCTCTGTGAGCTCTTGAGCACTCTCCCCGCATGCCTTCACTGGTGTGCGTTATGACGACATTCAACTGTCTCATATCCTACGTTCTTTTTTCTTTGTTATTCTTAATAAAGCTTTAGACGGTAAAAAAAAAAATGACAAGTACGGACGCCGACTTGAAACATGAAGGAGAGGGAAAACAAAAACAAAAAAACAAAACAAAGCCCAAACCGAAGCTGCTCGGACCCTGGCGCACACACCGATACGAACTGCTCATTGTGGACAAGAAGCACAACTACTCCCGCGCACGCCTCACCATCTTGTTCCACCTGGCCCGATGGACACTCTGGACGTTGCGGTGCCGCGCCCGCTTCGATCACACAACAATCCACTCGGCCCACGCTATTGCGCACTTCCGAAGCCTCGTCCTCAATCGCGCGAGGCAAGACACTTAAACGTGCCGCACGAACAAAGCACTCAAGACTAGCCCAGGCTTCCATAAGCTCTGGGGCAACGCCCTCGCAATCGAGCCCGACTCGACTCTCCAAAAGATGATTCTCGGCCTCTGAGACGACCAAAGTGTTGTTAGCATCCCAGACACCAAATCTGGGCTGCAAATGTTTGACTAGAGCTTCATACGCCAGTAACAGCGGCGCAGCTCAGCGAACTTTGTTATGATGGCGTGAGTTCTGGTCAAAACAAATAAACGTCGGTTTGAAAAAAAAAAACACAGACCATGAGCCGGCCCGTTCGCGGGGGAAACTCAACTTGAAGTGTTTGATCGGCTGGGTTGGACTTGATATCAACCACGAAGGTGACAGTTAGTATTGGCGATCAGGTTGTGGCGGGACGTTCTGGCGCTTGAACGCTCATTTTGCGAAGATGCGGAGCGCGCGTGCGTGCGTGTGTGCGGGCGTTTGTCCTGTGTTTGATGCAGAAAGATGTCTAGAATGTGAGGATGGAAGCTCGGCACGGAGAACATCAAGGGGCTGACGGACGGAGTGATCGAAGAACGATCAAAGGAAGAAGGACCACAAAGATCAACTCTCCCCCGCTTCGTCCCGCTCTTTTGGGCCTCGTTCACCGAGCGCCTAATCTCACACCCGCGCCGCCCGCGCGTTTTTTGTACATTAAATATGTTTCTTCTTGTTTTGTAACCACGAAGGAGGGCGGGTTCCAGACGGACAGGCTCAAAACCCGCATTCCAATAAACAACGCTCGGCGACGCGCCGGATCGTCCGCCGAGCGACCGAATTTTTCCATTCTCTTTGAAGCACTCCATTGTACCTACCTTACAAAACACGATTTGCAAAGCACAACGACGAAAATCCGGCAATGCCGAGCGAGCCAATCCTGTTCGCGCGTAAGAAACCTATGACTTGAAGAACGCCAACAACCAAAAACAATAACGCAAAAAATCAATCAAAAAGCCGGACAACAGCCCTCCTTTGGAGCGATCCCCGCCCACTCTGTGTCAGGATCCGCAGGCTCTGCGGTCCCGGCTGGGTCGTTCTTTGCTAAGAAGACTCGGCGTTGATGTCTTTGTATTGTTTGCATGCATTTGGAATTGCAGTTCAGTCTGCAAAGTGAAATACAACACACTTTACAACAACATTGCCTGGCTAACCCTACCAAGGTCTTACACTCTGGTGGCCCTAGGCATGCAGTACACATGGCGCTGATCACATAGGGCGTTGAGGCGCCGGATGGGCATTTAGGTCAAGCTGCTTGACACTTTTTTTTTTTTTTTTTTTTTTTTTTTGGTGTGTGTGTGTGTGTGTGTGTGTGTGAGTGTGTTCCGAGCTGCATTGCTCATCTGTGCCATACACAATCCTTCCATGTATGAGACCACTCAACCCCAGGACGAACCTTCTGATGTGTTGAATTTTTTTCCCTCCCTTGGGATTTCTGTTCCTAATGGCGGCTGGCCAGCGCTCGGAAACACAAGGGTTGTTGGGTGAGCGGTTAAGCCGGTTGACTAGAAAGACCTTCGTAATGAAGCTCCTATGTATCAACTCCGATTTTCGGGCAGAGGTTCGAGTCCTCTACAATCCGCGTTTTTTTTTTTGCTTGTTTTTTTTTTTTTTTTGGGGAAAAAGTTTGGCTTTCTGGTCCATCCTCGTCTGCTGACAGCCCCACTTTTGCAAAGATGGACATTCCCACGATTTGGTTTGTTTGAATGAGACACCTCCGTGCCGACAGACTAAGCGAGCGATCAAACACGAAGAAAGGAGCGCAAGCAGTTCCAACCAACCGCGGTTTGGCAACCCTCATCCTTGCACTTGCGTTGAGCTCACTGGGAATTCTCCATTCTTTAGTAATTGTATTTTTTGTTGATTTGTCCTCGCAGCCACTCCACATCTTCAACTATGAGCGCGGTCGCAAACTGCTTTGAGCGCATGAAGTACGGCGCGTTCATGGGCTGCACCATGGGTTGCGCGCTCGGCCTTGTGTTCGGCGGCACATCAGCATTGCGGTACGTCTTCGGTCCATCCAGTGCTTGGATATACCTCTGCTTGCACAGGGGATGGCTCGGCGGCGCGCGGTCGTGTGGACTTGGGTTGCAACGCGGTCTTGGCGAAATTGCCAAACACCCGCGTTTTTCAGCGAGTCAGCGCAAGTGTGCCCCCCCTCCTCCATGCAAGCGTCGACAATCTAGCAATGCAGCTACCGACGATCTTTGTGATTGGACGCACGCGAGCGAGTGAGGGAGGGGAGAGAACGGGGAGACAAGGACAGCTTTCGCCATTCTCTCTCTCGCTCTCTCGCGCTCACAGCCACTCCATTGGGGAAGAACACTCCGATGTCAAAAGCGCGATCCTGGCCTCACACTGTCGACTCGACTCGGCGCGCGCGGAGGAGGCGGGGGGGGGGGCAAAGGTCCTTCGTTCTCCATTTCCATGTGGCTTTTGCTGGATCAGCACACTCACTTTCACTCTCTTGCCCTGCTCGTCCTTTGTTGTGATGTTTTGCGTCATACAACAAAACAGCTTTGGCATGCGAGGCTCCGAGGCCATCACTCAGATCGGCAAGGCCATGGCCATAACAAAACCACACACACAGCTTTGGCATGCGAGGCTCCGAGGCCATCACTCAGATCATTTCTGTTCTTGTTGTTGCTGCTGTTGTTGTTGTTGTTTTTCCTGTTGTTGTTGTTGTTGTTGTTGTTGTTGTTGTTGTTGTTGTTGTTGTTGTTGTTGTTGTTGTTGTTGTTGTTGTTGTTGTTGTTGTTGTTGTTGTTGTTGTTGTTGTTGTTGTTGTTGTTGTTGTTGTTGTTGTTGTTGTTCTCGTTCTCTTCAAGTTCTTTCGTGCCAAAACAATCCATGTCTGGAGCATTACAAGCACTTTTGCGAAATGTTCGCTTTTTGGAGTTGAACGGAAACCCTTTGTTCCAACATGGAATAACTGGATTCCACACAAAAGCAAAGTGTACAAGCATCAGACAGCCAAAGCAGCAAATATCCAAACAGGAAGAGAGGGGCGTGGGGAGGCAGCACAGCTCAGCGCTTGCTTTCGGCGGATTGGTTGAGCAAAACAACTGCCACGGATGTGCAAGGAATCATGGCGATTTCGGTGATCACCACATCCACAAAGTCTGGAGGAGTGATATCGTAAACAAGATTGAGGAGTCGTAAAGATTCAATCTCACGCCACTCGTCCAGGACATTGCCGCTTTCGCGATCGATGGCGACCAACGCGTCGGGGTCGCCCAGCTCGTTAAAGACAAACGAGTCTGTTTGAGAGCGGTCGCAGAACTTGTACGTTTCACAGCAAACAATGACTGGCACGTTGTACGCCTTGGCCATCATGCCAATGACGGAGGTGCCGACGCGCGACATGACGTAGCCGTTCTTGAGAATGGCGTGTGCACCCAGGAAGACCTTGGAAACCTACAACAGGGGGCCACGATTTTGAACGTGTGAGCAAAAAAAAAAAAAAAAAAAAAAAAAAGAGGACCAGGCAAACCCCACAAATTTGCTTTCAGATGAAATCACAAACCTCCTTCATGACGTATGAAATTGCGTTGATAAGAACGTAGGAGCACTTGATGCCCGCTTGAACGAGTCGTCGCAACGTCTCTTTGCCTGAAAAGAGTTCAGAGGTACACGAATGAGCGCAACACGTCAACTACTCTACTCAGTCACAGCCGCGAAAGCCCCGTACCTTCCATGCGCGGGCGAGAGTCGACCACGACGACAGAGAATTTCTTGTTTGCCCGATGGGCGGCAAGCAGAACTTGCAAGACAACATGCGAGCTCGCGTGAACGAGAATCACATCGCCATTTTGGATCTTGGTAATCGCGCTGTTGCAGATGGCAGAATCAGCAAGCTTGATACCATCCGCAAATTCGTCCACGATTCCGATGAGGAAATTCTTGGCCTAAAACCCAACACACAGGATGTGAGAGTGAGCACACAATTAAGAAAAATCGTAAGAGCAATGAAGGCGATCGGCACGAGGACAAACCTCTGCATCCGTTTCGTCGGGTTTGACAGCAGCAATGTTCACTTTGAGATATCGAATAAAATTGCCCATGCTTCAAACAACCAACCAACCAACCAAAATGAGCCATTTTTCGGTGAGCAGAGAGTTGGTAAAAAAAAAAAAAAGTGTAACGAGAACAAACAACACCAAACCCAAAACCACGCGTCAACTCACCTGACAGACATGGGACGACAAAAAGTCAAGAATGTCAGGTAAGGCTTGATGGACTCGGACAGGTCATGTCGTAGCTCTTTCTGAGGGGGAGTCACATAGTCCGCAATCACCTAAATAATAACAAAATGGTCCAAACCGTGTAAGCAAAACGAGCAAAGAAATATGGCATCAACGTGCAAAAGCAGGCAAACCTTGCGGAACGCGTTGATAAGAGCCAAAGCTCGAGCATTGGAGCCGACAATCACGTTTTCGGCGTATTTCAGGCCGAGAGCGGTAATCGCAGGGTGCATGCTGGCGCGCAGAAAGTTTTGTGTCAGCGAAGGCAGACGCTGGTATTGACGCAAGTGTGCAAAGAATTCGACCTGCTTCTGAGGCCGTGTTGGCTGGGAGAGCTGTGGAACAGACAGGGAACAAGGACGCAAAAAAAAAACCAAACAAAAAACCCAAACCACAACCACCCAACAACCCGGATACGGTCAGTGCCTCAAGCAGGCTCCAAACTTCAGGCTTCTCAAATGTACACAGCATCGCGTTACCTGTTGCTTGGCGAGGGTGCGCGAAAGCTTGTTTTGCACTTTGACATCGTCATACTGCATGTTGGGGTTGGAATGCACACCTCGGAACGATTCCTTCTTGCCGACCTTGCTGTCCGAAGCGGCAGCCAGACTGGCGCCCGACGCTGCGCCGCTGGCGGCATTGCCAGCAGTGGCAACGGGACTTTTGCCCTTTCGCTCTGCATTCGATCCTTCTGCGTTCTCGACCGAGCTTTGAGACGTCTGGCGCGAGGATTTGAGCGACTTGGGCTGCTGCGGTTGAGGCTGTGACTGTGGTGATGCTTGTGATTGAGGGGAGGCAGGTTGCTGGGCTGCTTGATCGCCCTTGGCAGGTTGGTTGTTTTGCTTTTGTCGGAGTGCAAGCTTTGCCGCCTTGTTTTTCTCCTGCGCGAGCCAAGCGTGCAAATAGGGTTGAACGAACAGCATGCATCAAACGTTAGGGTTGATTCGGGGGAGGGGAAAGGGGGAAGGGTCAAAGGCTGGTTGGTCATGACGACACCACAATGCAATCCTACCTGCAATGCAAGGCGCTCAGATTTTGTCAATCCGTCTGCGCCAACACGCTCTGGCTTTGGTGCAGCGCCATCTGCAGAAGCAGCTGTGGCACCAGCAGCAGCAGGAGCAGCAGCAGCAGCAGCAGCGTCGCCGCCCTTCTTTCGCTGCTGGGACTGAGATTGCTGGTTTGCAGGAGCAATGACAATGGCCGGGATTGGCGCCGCGCTTGTCGGTGTGGAAGTGCTGGACGACGCGCTGAACGACGACGCGGCCGTGGTCATCAGCGGCGTGGATGGATGGCTGCCCTGTCGCGAGTTTGAGCCAGAGTCCGTCTGCAAGCAAGTGAGTGAAGGAGCAGGAGGAGGAGGAGGAGGAGGAGGAGGAGGAGGAGGAGGAGGAGGAGGAGGAGGAGGAGGAGGAGGAGTGAGTACAACGGCGAATTTGGACTCTCTTGCGATTGCGCATTCGAATTGCCTACACACACACACACACTCTCTCTCTCTCTCTCTCTCTTTACTCATGCTGTATCATGCTTGAACGTGCGAGTGAGGGGGTGGTGGTGGTGGTGGTTTGGTGATTGATGAGAATCGGAAAAAAAAAAAGGAAGAAAGGTTCAGCAGCGAGATCTCAAACACACATGCTTGTCCCACTCCACTCCCAGCCAGACCACAGACAGCACGACCAAGACAACCGAGGGCACAACAAGCACATCTGCTAGTGATGAGAGCTTTTGGTTGTACCTCTGCGAGATGGAAGCCGATGGTCGTCTTGACTGCGCTGCCATCAAAGCGCGGGCCGGTCGCCGTCGTTGTGCTCGAGGTCGAGGCGAACGAGTTGGTGATGGAGTTGACGGCGCCGACGGACGACGACGCAAAGCTGCCAGGCGACGTCGACAGCACAACAGAGCCCACCGGCGTGCGCGTGATAGAGCCACTGCCGCGCTGCTGCTGCTGCTGCTGCGAGGACGAGGACGTGAGCGATCGGCCGCCAAAGGTCGCGCCAGCAGCAGACTCGTTGAACGACGACGACAGGCTGCCTGCGCTGCTGCCGACACTGCCTCCAGCACTACTGGCACCGCTGGTCCCGACAGGCCGCGGGTTGGAGCGAGGTACGCTGCTCATTGAGGGATGAAGAAAGGAGGGGGAAACGGCAAAAAAAAAAAAAAAATGACTGCGCCATGACGAAATAGGCTTGGAAAGCAGCCAAACAGCAAAAACTCAGAGACATGCGGTGAAAGCAGATTGGGAAGACAAGAAGAGTACAACAGCAGATATGGATGGGAAGATAGCAAGTGCGTAATGGAGTGCAACACGACGCGAGAACGTTGCGCAAAATGTCATTCCGACTTGTCCGTCGAGTTGTTGTCCATGAGTTGTTTGGCAGAACGCACATGTAGCGCAAAATCGAAACAAAGAGCCGTAACATGAAAAAGTATATTTGCAAAGTGGCACCAAAAGGAACAACTCAACAACAGAGCAGTCCGGTGAGGTTTGCGTTGCAGCGCCAGCGCCGCAACAAGCACACACAGACCAATAACTGCTGGAGGGGAATGTTGGGGGGTAGGTGGCGATGGAGACAATCGTTGCCGCCGATGTGCATGGCCAATGCATCAAACAAGCAAAGCTGAAAACAAAAAGGCACCACAACGAGGACGAGAGAACGAAGACAAAAAAAAAAAAACAAACAAACAATAGTGCGGAAACAGCAGGGGACGGGGTTCAAAGCCCCTCCCCCCGAAAAAAAGAAACAACCAAAATATCAACCTAGGAATCGGAAACTAACGCAAAAATGCCCGCGCCGTTGCTGGCCAGATTCAGAAAGAAGCGACCAATCTCAAAGTACTGTCAACAGACCTCGAGAACTTGAAGCGAGCATTCGTGCGCGAAACAACCGATATTCGCCGAGGCGTACTTAAGGGCGCACAGCAACCGGGCGCTGGAGGCCGGCGCCGGGCGAGGCGGGGCGCTGCAGGCTAGCACCAGGCGACGGAGGGCGCACAGAAGGGCCGCGAGACGGGGCAGAGGCGCGAGGAGCAGGGGTGGTCGCGCGAGCCGTGGGGGTAGCAGGGCGGGCAGTGGGGGTGGCAGGGCGAGGCGCAGGGGTGGCAGCGCGAGGAGCAGGGGTGGAGCGGCCCTTCTCGGCGTCGCTGTGGCGGGTGCTGTGGTTGGAGCCGGTGGTGAAGCGGTCCTTGATGCTCGAGCCGAACTGACGGACCTTGCCGCCGCTCTTGCGGTCGTACACAAAGAGGACAACAAGGAGGACGAGAATGAGGACGATGGGCACGGCGACGGCGGCGCCGTTCGAGCCGCTGCTGCTCGAGTCGCTCGAGGGCTGGTTGGCGGCCAGAGTAGTGGTGGAGGCAATGCCGGCGGCGGCAAGCTCGCTGGACGAGGCAGTGAGGAGCTGGTTGATGAGAGGTGCGGGGTCGGTGCCAGCAGAGTCGTAGTTGATGGTGAAGACGAGCTTGAAGTGGTTCTTGTCGACAGCGGTGAGGGCGGTGACGGTCGTGATCTGGGTCGTGGGGATGTCCAAGAACGAGGCGACGGCGTTGAAAAAGTCGGTCGTGGACGGAGCGTTGCCAGAAGCAGAGTAGAAGGTGGCAGTGATGCCCTGGGGGCTAACGACAACCTTGATGTCGGAGCAGCCAAAGTAGGGCTTCGCTTCGTTGCTCTTCCAGATCCAAGCGACAGTGTAGGTGCCAGGCTCCAACGCGGCAAAAGTCTTGGTTTCGGGATTGTTGCCAGACACGATGGCTCCCGAGGGTTGAATCTGTGTTGGTGGTCAATCCATATGAGGAGGGATCGAGGTGATGGTAAGTCGGGTGACTGGGTGCAGAGGTCTCCTTCTCGCACTCTCCTTCTCTCTCTCTCTCTCTCTCGCCAGCTGGCTCTCGCAAGCAATATTGTGACTTTTCGCTCATAGGAGGTCGGCCCAAGAACCCAAGGGGCAGCAACCCAAGTTGGAGCAAGAACGCCAAAAACTCGCGCGTTTTCTGCTTGAATCTCGCCCCCTTTGTCGTCCAATTTTTCACTTTTGACTCCCAAACTGAAGTTACTCATACTGTCCAAGTGAGGGTGTGTGTGTGTGCTCCGAACCAAACCCCAGACAGAGAGAACGAACAAGACATACAAAATAAATAAAAACAATGGGAAAATAAAAATCAAAGTAGAATAAGGAAAAACAAAAACAAAGCCAAAACCACAAGTAGGTTTTTTTTTTCTTTCTTTTTTTTCTTTTTCTTTGTTTTCTTGTGAATAAGGTTTTGGTCTGTTTTGGTGGATTTACCGTGGTGAATGCGCCGCCGTCCTTGCGAAGCTTGATCTGGTACGTGCCTCCGTGGCTGTGGGCGAGACGCGAGAGAGCAGAAGGAGCGAAAGGTGAGCAAAACAAAAGCCAAAAGCAAAGCAAAAAAAAAAAAAAAAAAAAATCCCGCAATTTGAAATTTGCCCATTTTCATTTTTTATGATTGCGGGCTTTTTCTTTCTATGGGTTCACCACCGCTGCAGGCCCAGCCGAGCTCAAGGACACCATCGCCTGCAGCAAAATGCAGACAGCATCCCCAAGGCGGAGGGAGGGCGGGCGGTGAAAAGCGCAGGCACCAAAGAAAACGACGATGGGAAAATGGCAAAGTTTTTTCCCATTCAAAAAAATCGCATTGGTTTTTTCCATTGGTTTTTTCCATTGAGTTTCCATTGGGTTTTCCATTGAGTTTTTTTTTTTTTTTTTTTTTTTTGGATCCACGTTGTTGCTTACTTTGCATTGATCTTGTAGGTGACAGAGAACGGCTGTCCGGCAAAGTAGGTGGCGGAGGGGGTTCCTGCAGCAACGGTGGTGCAGTCGTCGCGGTAGTTGTCGTCGTTGCCCGAGCGCGGGACGGGCGTCTTGAGCAGACCGTGGCCGTAAGCACTGGAAGCGAGGACGGCAACCGCGAGCAGCGTCGCCAGCAGCGAAGACGAGGAAACCATTGTGAGGGGGGAAATATAAAAGACTGAGAAATGAATAAATAAGACGAAGAAAGGTAAGAATCACAAAAATGGAGATCACAAGGAAAAACATCGTTCATGCAATCTCTCTCTCTCTCTCTCTCTCTCTCTCTCTCTCTCTCTCTCTCTCTCTCTCTCTCTCTCTCTCTCTCTCTCTCTCTCTTTCTCTCTTCAGCCCGCGGGGTGGAAGATGGCCCGTTTCCATCACACTGGACAAACATGCCGCAATGTTCACTTCCCGTCTTTTGTTGTTCAGAGAAATCAGAATCTCAGTCCAGTCATTTTTCAACAAGAAATCGCTTGAAACTCACTCTCAACGCACACACACACTCACAGTCCCGATTCAAACCATGGCCATCAAGTTCTTCCTGCTGGTCAACAAGCAGGGCAACACGCGCCTCGCTCAGTACTACGACCAGGGCCCACAGGACAGGGTGTCCGACCGCGTCGTCCACGAAGCAGAAATCATCCGCAAGTGCCTCTCCCGCGCCGACTCGCAGGTGCGGATTGATGCGTGCATGATGATGATGGTGATGATGATGATGATGATGATGATGTTCCGTGCTCGGTGGACGTGCTGGGAAGCGGGCAGCCAGCCAGACAGCCAGCCAGAGCGCGAGCATTGGAAGCTCACTCACTTTTTTGCTCTTCCAGTGCTCGTTTATGGAGTACCGCAACTACAAGATTGTCTACCGGCGCTATGCAGCGCTCTATTTCATCCTGGGCGTCGACAGCGAAGAGGTTTGTGGACTTTTCATCAGGTTGCAATGGACATTGACATTTGTATGCTCACTCGTTGCTGTTCCCTGTGCTCTAGAACGAACTGGCCATTCTCGAATTCATCCATGCAGTCGTAGAGACACTCGATCGCTACTTTGAAAGCGTGGTATGTGTTTGTTGCTGGCACCGATGTGATGCATTGAGAGATAAAATTCTCACTCTCGCTAGATCTTTATTCCCTTGCTTTCCCATGCTCCCGCTCGCCTTGGAAACCCTCAAACAGTGCGAACTCGATGTAAGTGGTCGACTCTCCGTCATCTCCTGCCTGCAGCCGCCTGGATCTCACTTGAGGGTTGATTTTTTTTTTTTTTTTTTTGCTGCCACCTCACAGATCATGTTCAACCTCGAAAAGGCTCACATCATCCTCGACGAGATGATCATCAACGGGAAAATCGTAGAGACCAACAAGAATCAAATACTAATGCCTCTCGCGCTCATGGAGAAGGCCAGCACCAAGTCATAAACCATCAGACATCCTTCCCTTTGCGCTGCGCAATTCCCTCAAAATTGTCTTGATTTATATCCAAATCGCTTGTACAGCAATATTGAAACATCCCCTCCCTACCAGCACTTCCAAGAGCTTGAGTTTTCGCATTTTTTTTTCAAAAAAACATATTAGCGACCACTGATCAGGATGCACTTGGAGCCTTGGCTTTCGCAGACCAATACGGATGCGTCCGCCAATCGACGGGTCTGGTAACGGTTGTGACGGCACCAGTGGCCGCGTCCTTGACACGCTCCAGCAGGTAGACAGTGTCGATGTTGAGCAATTCCAGATAGCTCGGAAGCTGATCGTAGTGCATGGCGACATCGTTTTCACCGTGGCTATCGTCGCAGATGGTGAATTTGCCACCGAGGCTGAGAATTCGCTGCATGCCAAGAGAGCAAAACAAAACAAAACAAACGCGAGCGAATCAGCAGGGTTTCTCTAGTCTCGCCCAAAACAACCTCCTCTTGCAACTCGCAACATACACCCCCGCCCGCCCCCTCCCTTTACCTGTGCAATGTCCAGTTGTGGGTACGGATGAGCAAACATCTTTTTCAGCGCTCGCGAGTTGATTTCGAACAGGGCGCCGTAGGAAACTGCGCATCGAATGTTGCGGTCAATCAGCTCCCACGTCGCGGCGGAGAGCGGCGCATCCCGTCGGTACAACCGGATGACGTCAAAGTGGCCCACGACTTGCGGCTGGAGCGCGTTGATGAGCGCGTATTGGTGCTCAAAGTACGCTTGGAAGAGCTGGTCGGACGACCCACCCGCAGCAGTCTCGGCGTCGTTGCACAGCGCCGACGAGTAGTCTGTCGGTATCCCATGGACATGGTGCACTGATCCAACGAGATACTCAATCTCGTGGCGAGCCACCAGCGCGCGGATCTCGGCGATCGTCTCCGAGCCAAAGTACTCAGTCTCCATCCCAATCACAATGTGGATGCGCGACCCGTACTTGTCGCGGAGTCTTCGAGCTTCGGCAATGTACGCCGTGAACATGTCGTCGAGAGCAGCGGGTGCGAGGTGTTTCTGGGAGATTCAGACATGAGCAATGGATGCATGGTCAGTTTCACTATTGTTCTATTTGTGCTATTGCTAGTCCCCCAGTTGACATTGTGGGGGGAGGGGTTTGGGATGGACGACAGGTTGTTGTACCTCTTCATTGTACAACTGCGATTCCCGTGTTCGCGGCATGTGCTCAGAGAGGCCAATGTGCGTAAATCCCGCGTCGATGGCGCGCAGCACAACAGCTTCAAGCGTGCCAGCTGCATGCAGGCAGAACTGCCCACTGTGGCTGTGGTATGTAAACGGCATGCAGAGTCAAACTACAGCAACGGAATATGGGGGTGGGGTGGGGGCTCGGGATTGAATTTTGGACTGATCACTTCCAAATTGGAATGGATTGAAAAACCAAATTTGTTTGACAACAAGAAACCGAACCAAAATCAATAGCAGCTAGCAATATGAAACCACGCAAAAGGAGGAAGAAAAAAAAAAAAGAAAGCAAGGAGAAGAGGAGAACAAGGAGAAGAGAACAAAAGAAAAGGCGATTATCAAAACACGAGAAAAAAAAAACGCCCAACCAAACAAACAAACCCACACGAAATGCAAAAAAGCAGAGCCCTCACTGAAGCACTCACAAACAGAATCACCCTAGATTCAGAGTGCAGTGCCCCATGCAAAAGGCACAAGTTAAGGAACGAGAAATACGGAACAAAAATCCCTGCAAGGGACGCTACTGCTCACGACGGCCTCGCGAGGTGCGACCGCTTCGGGTTGTACCATGCGCTGGAGGCTCGGGAGAGTTGCCATCAAGACGCTCAACATCGACATCTGTGGACTTGTCGCTCGGGGTGGACGAGGAGGTGGACGAGCTCTCCATGTCCATCTGGTGCCCGTGCTCGTGGTGGTGGGAGTGGTGGTGGTGGTGAGACTCATAGTAGTGTCCATTTTCCTCGCCGGCCGGGTGCATGTGGTGTTGTGGAGCCTTGCCTTGCATGGGCTGCTGCAGATAGGCTGCAGGGACGGGGTGACCCAACGCGTCAAGCTTGGAGCAGCACCACACGTTGAGCTGCTGCAACCGATCAATCTCAGCCTGCTGTTGCGCCTGGCGGTAGTGCAGCGTCTCGATAAACTGCTTGGCGTGCTGCAGGATGGCCACCGTGGAGGGCTTGGCCATGTCGAGGCCGGGGATGGCCTCTTGCAGCTCTTCAAAGCACGTCTTGAGGTGAGCGCGACGGTTCTTTTCAAGCATGTTGTGCTGCTCGCGGTTCTTGACAGATCGCTTCTTGCCAGAGCGACCGCCGCTGCTACCACCAGGGGAGGCGTCGGCCGGGCCGAGGGATCCCGTTGATCCCGAGTTGGCGTTCTTCAAGCCGCCGCTGCTGGTCGCGCCGGACGAGCCGGACGAATTTGAAGCCGGAGACATCGTGGCAGGGTTGGAGTGGCCTGCAGCAAACGGACCTGGATAGCTGGAGGGCTGAAACCCGCTCTCGCTGTTTCGGCGCCCAGACGAGAACGAAGTTGACATGGTGCGAGACCGTGAGCCGCTGCGCGCCGGCGCTGGAGGAGTGCGGCGGGCCGACGACGAGACTTGGAAGTCATCATCGCCATCATTGTACCCATCTTCGGTATCGTCCTCATCTTCATCCTCTTCCTCCTCGTCCACTTCCTCGTCATCTTCGTACACATCATAGCTGAAGCTCTCTCGCATCGAGCTGTTCCGACGCCGACGCGCAGCTGCGCCGGTCGGAATGCCTAGTGACTTGCCCGAGGGAGAGCTACCAGTCATCCCTGGAGGCATGTAGTGGTGTGCGTTGGCCGGAGGTGCGACGGGGTACATGCCATGTTGGAATGCTCCGCCGTGGGGCATGGGCGCCTGCGGCGATGGCATGGTGCGCGTTGGGGGTGCAGCATGGAAACCGGAGAGAGACGAGTAGGCGAGCGGTTGTGGTGGGTTGGATTGCGAGCGAGCTGTGCGGTTGGCCGGGTGCGTTGGATGTTGGTAGCCGGCGTGGTAGCCAGGATCCATGGGGGCGTAGCCATGGGGTGCGTGCATCATCATGGGGTGGTGGGGTTGTTGCGGAGACGCCATCGGCATGGGTGCGCCCGGGGCAAACCGTTGGTTGCTCGACGGCGCGGGAGGCGGGGGCATGCCGCCACTGCCTTGCATGGGAAAGTGCTGCGCCTCCTCTCGTTGGAGCAGCAGCTCTGCGGCTTGCAAAAGAGCGGCCATGATGGATTAGCAGATTGCGAGTAATAGCCGAAGGATCAGAATGGGCGGAAAACGGTGACTTGGATTTTGCAGATGAGGGGTTTGGTAGACAAAGAGACCTCAAAAACGGAACCAATCCAAACCAGCGGGCAACTTTTCTTGGGGGGAAAGTGGGCTTTTGGCGGGGAAACAGGCTCCTGTAGAACAATGGAAGACAGTGCACAAACAAATATGGAAAATCTCAGAAAATCAGAAAATCAGAAAATCGGAACACAAAACGCAAAGGGCTGCTTTTGAATTTTCGTTTTAGCCTCTTCCCAGCGATTCTCGTGATGAGATGCTCTGGACTTTGACTCGTTGATAATGAAGGGGTCATTCAGAGCAGAGAGCATTGGCGCACGATGCATTTGGCGCACATGTTCTGAGCTTCAATCAGCGACTTGATCAAAGCCGCCCTCACCTCGCATACACTCTCCCGCCTGCTGTTTGTCTGACAATAGTAGTGTCATTTCGTCGTGTCCATGGTCGGGGGGAGGGAAGGGAGAGAGGCATGAAGGCGAAGCGCCGTGATGCCATGAGACGTGATGCGTGGCACATGCACCCCTTCCAACCAGGGGGACTCTCGGCTCCAAGTGAGAAAGAGAGAGGGAGAAAGAGCGCGACGAACAGCGCAATGACAAGAGCAAAAGCATCACGCAAAAGAAGACAAAACAACTCAAACATTGAAAAAAAAAAAAAAAAAAAAAAAGAAAGCCTCGTGTTCTCAATGCGAAAAAGGCGCTTGCTTTTGGTCTTTATTGCCTTTTGGCTCTGTTCACTTGGCCGAGACGAGCCGTCCGATGTGATGCAATGCAAGAGAGTGGAGGCGAGAATGCCGCACTCTGACGCGCAGATTGACCAAAAGGGGGCGCCCACACGAGTACAACAGGCAGCACACCCGGCATTGAGGAGAGCGCTCAGGCGGTTGTGTGTGGCCCAGCATTGAGCAAAAAAAATCAATGGAAGCACGCGCGTCGCCCTCTCCTCAGTTTGCGTCAGCACCTCTCCTCCACCTTCACCAAGGGTCATCCCTGTTCCCCCCGCTGCCCTCCAGAGACTGCTTCGATAGCGAGGCGGGGGCTGTGCAGGGCATCGGGGTGGCGCTGGTCTCCCCGTCGTCCGCGTTGGTTTCGCGGGCTCGCAATGCGCCATGTGCCGACAGGGGCGACGTGTTTGCATTTTGCTTTACTCGAATTTTGTTTGTTAAATCGCAAATGGACGGCAGCCGAATCAGTACAAGCCGATCCTGTCTCAACTGCCAACAGCGCGAGCAAAATGGCAACACACGAAATGACACTCACAATGATAATCTTGGGTGGAGGGGGGGTAGGAAAATGGAACGACAAGTCGAAACAAAAATGGAGAAATTGCTGGTTTGCTTTTTTCTTTCGCGGATTTTCAGAGATACTACAGGATCATGGATACAATTACAAGGGCAATGGTTGGCTGCAGCGCACATCAAGCGAAAGAATGTGCCGCCACTGCGAGAGGAGGTGCGCGCCATGTTGAAACAACAGGGCTCGAATTCGCTCGCCTTCGTCGGTTGGAGCAGTTGTTGGAGCTTCGGTCGAGTCCAGATCGTGCGCTTCGACTGCCGAGACCGTCTCGACCAAATCGGCACGGAGCTGAGCAACGATCGGAGCTTGGGCGATGGCTTCTGTCGAGATATGTGGGGCGAGCGAATGGCTAAAAGTGAGGCGGTGCGATGCCAACGCAGACTCCCACGGATTGGTTGAAACTGGCGTATTGCTGCTAAAGTTGAGAGGCTGTGCAAGCAAGATGGAGGGTAGCACCACACACACCACGTGCGGTTGAGCAGCTACGCTCTCGCTCAAGAGCTGCAGCCGTTGATTGAGCGTTTCGGGACCGCAATCACCCAAATCAATCGTGGTCCAGTTCGACCCAGCCAGAAGATGGCGCGGTGGCATGTACGTAGAAGCAAAGATGGCCGTCAACCTGGTCTCTGGTTGTGCTGCCACAGAAAAAACAAAAAGACAACCAACCATCATCAGCAAAACAAGCATTTCAGTGTGCCTGCTTTCTCAAGCATCCTTACCAAGGCGTCCTGCAGAATTCAACGCTAGCAAGGAACGAGTGACGGCGCCTTGGTGCAAGAGGCCAAACCACGTCGCAGCAAGCAGATTAAACCCAATCCAAGCAGTCTGCCAAATTTCTCAAAGGCAAGTGAGACCATGAGAGCACCCACTCCAGTACAATCAAGCGGTGCATCGTACCATCAAGACGGGCCAACGTTGAACCCACCGCGCTGTCAGCAGCACGATTGGAAGGAGGAGCGGGAGCAGAAACCGCGGCTCTTGGTGTGGAGCGCTCGACAGTCCGAGCAGCCCCAATGCTGCGCTACCGCATACGCCTAAATGCATCGTCCAAAATGACCGTAGAAAGAAAGAAAGAAACGAAAGCGGTGCAACAACAAACCTGTAGTCAGAAGCGAGGCACAGCCTCTTTCAACAAAATCCATGCCACTTTTTTCTTTTTTTGCTTTTGTACCGAGAATGAAACATCGCTGATATACGCCAGAGCGAGGAGGAAAAGCAAACTTGCAACAGGCGGCAGCAAGGGCGAGCACCAGCGGACCAAAGAGCAGGGGCATGTTGACGAGGATGTGCAGGTAGCGCGGATGAAGACCGTGCTGCTCCAGATTGGCTGGGTTGAGATTGTACAACAAATTGTTCAGAGGGGCCACGACTGGAAGGCGATTCCATGTTGGCAGGCAGGCGAGAAGGAACGGGGACGCCAGAGGGGATTCCGATGGGATGGACTCGGAAACGACAGAGCTTCCACCAAACTCGAGAGCACCGAAATACCACGAGTCAAAAATCACAAAGCCAGAGGTCGTCAATAGAGCAGAAGCAACCAAAGGAATCCACGAAAGGCGCACCAATCTCGAGAGGATGGCCAGCACAGATCCGTTCCGCCGTACGAGCACGTCGCAAACCACGCGATAGTGCAGCATTTGCAGAGCGACTGCAAGTGGTGCGGCAAACAGTACGAGCGTAAAGCGGCAAAATATTCCCGCAACGACGACCGCCCCAAATACGACGCTGCTGGTTCGAAGTAAGGCAACAGCGGCGACTGCCGTCTTTGATGCTCGCTGCGTGTCGAGCGCAAGCGGCGATGCGACAGACGCGCTAGGACTTGGCGGGGGTACATCAACAGAGGCCACGAAAGCGTCGGAACCAGCAGACGGCCTTGCGGATGCTTTTCGACGTGCAGATTTGTTTGCAGAAGGGGTCTCCAAAGAAATCCGCTCAGCTCCCTGAGCAGCAAACGCCAGCGTGCCAACCAACGCAGCCAACAACACGGATTCCATGGCGTTGGAGAAGGTGCGTGTGTGAAACACCACCGTCACAAACGAGGAGGCCAGCACAAGGAGCGTGGTGGCATGCAAAGCGGGCTGCGTCGGATAGAGCCATCTCATTGCGTTGAGCACCTGCGAATCAAGCACTAGCGAGGAAAACAGCATGACAATCCGAGGTGCAATCAGCAATGCCCATGGCGGAATTTGGGCGACCGTGCCGAACAGTGCCTTTAGCAGCGCAAATGGAAATCCTGAAATGAGCAATGGGAAGACTGCAGACCGCGATGGCGTTTCTGTATTTGCAACTAGAGCCGCCAGGGAGGGGGAGCGGGAAGTATCAACACGTCAAGGGTATTGAGATTTGGCAAGTTGGACGAAATCGCAAGTTCCAAACTTCTTACACTCCCATGGGATGAATGCGGAATCGAGCTCAAGCACATCTCTTGCGGCAACTTCCGGACTCTGCACGCAGGCATGCATCAGACCAAGAGCACCTGGGTTTACAATACAATGCAAAACAGGCAGAATGCGCAACAATTGCTTACTTGGAAAAATTCGTCGGGATGGATGTAGCCGGGCAGCGCAATGCTGGCAGCTCGCACAAGCATCAGCAGCGAGTACATCCACCAGAAGCGCTCCAGAACGCGTGGCTTGGTGACGATCGCCAAGTCCAATCGTCGACCTGCGCGTTGCAGAGGTTTCAGCTGAAGCGACGATGATCGTCCCAGCCCTCGACTGCCCGACGGCTGTTGCAGCAACGATGCTGATCGTGTCTTGGGCTTGCTTGCTCTGGTCTTGGCTTGTGGCGGACCAAACTCGCCAAACCGTGCGCTGCTGCTGGTCGTGAGTCGCTTCAGAACGGCAGCGAGCACTCCCGGCTTGGCGCTGGTGCTCTTCGCCGTCGACCCTCCTGGCTGCAGCATGGCTCCTGTCTGTGCAGATCTGCCTGTCCTGGACTCGCCCTGATGCTCGCTGGGTGACCAGTGGTCTGAATTTGCGGAATCCTGGTTGTTGTCGTCGTTCTGAGTTGTTTCTGATTCTTGGTAGTGTACGCCTCGATTGTAATGCCCGGCTGCCTGATTTGCCAATTCGTCCTCACTGTCATCATCATCCTCATTGTCATCCTCATTGTCATCATCATCATCGTCGTCGCTGTTGGCGTTTTCAATGTCTGCTTGATAGCTTTCGCTGTCGGACGCCATTTGTGAGTGCTTTCTGAAATTTTCTCAGACTGAGCCCTGTGTTCACAAATTCAAACAAACAAGCAAATCCAATGACGATACTGCTCCTCCTTGATTTTTTGGATGCACATCCAGTCATTCATCATTCGAGAGCACAGCAACGATGAGCAGCGACGAGGACGACGAGTTCCACGAAGCCGAGGAAGAGCTTCAAATCGACGACGAAGAGGTGAACTTTAAAAGCAAACCAACAGAGACCAGTCACATTGACGAATATGCGAGCATTCAGGCTTTTCGACCTCAGAGCATCCTCCGAGTCGAGAGTAGAGAGTAGCGTCGAAGTAGAGAGTTGAGGGAAAGCAAATTGTAACAGTCGGGTTGAAGAATGACTGCAAGTGACGAAGCGACCACCTTCCCACGCGGCGCTTTTTGGGAGGGGAGGTTGAACCACTGAGAAGAGCGAGAAGTGTGCTCGGAGGGTGAGGGTGGGGGAACTGGGGGGAACCGGGGGCGACGCGGGACGGGTATCATCAAGCAACAGTAACAGCCGACAACCAGCAGTCAACACAGCAGCAGGAACCCCTTCCCCCTCCCTCACTTGGTTTGGGACGATGACTCGGGCTTCTTGCTGCTGATGCTGCTGGTGCTGGCCGTTTTTGCTGCGACGGGACGCCCTGCTCTGGCTCGTATTAGCCAAAAACACAAACAAACAAACAAATGCAATGTTACCGTCAATCATATCTATCTGACTCAGATTGTGTGAAACCTTTGGATATTACATCTGTTTTGGTTGCATGTTTGTTGCTCAGGACACGACAGCGCCGCCAGTGCGAGCATCGAATTGCGCAATCGCGGTCGGCGTGGACAAGTACGGACTGCCCGCGGGGCTGCCAATGACCTCAGACCAGATCCGGGAAGGGTTTGGGCTCTTCTTCAAGAACCAGCAGACTGAGGCGGAGAACTTTTTCGCCGCGTACAAGGACTCCATTCCGCTGTTCTCGTTGGGATACTCAACGATGGCGTTTGTGCGGGCCATCATGAGCTTTGAGACGGGCGATATTCAGACCGCCATGAAGGAGCTCGGCGAGACCGAGGCGCTTGCCTACGCCGCGACCGCTCAGGAGAGCACCTTCGCCTCCATCACGCGGTTTGTGCTGCGCACAAAGAAGGAGGCCATGTCGTCAGAGCAGGTGCACCACACGGTCATCACGGCAGAATGCCGCATGCTCACCGGCCTCATGCAGTTTGTCCAAGAGTCGGTCATGGGCTTCATCAAGGGCGGCCTCAACATTCGCGCTGCGTGGAAGACCTATGAGCGCATGTGGCACATTTATGAAAGCAAAGAGACGCCGCTCGACGACGAGACGCGCGGCGCCGTTCAGTTTGGCATTGGCACGTTCAACCTCATCAACTCGATTCTGCCCGCCAAAATGCTCAAGCTCGTCTCCATCCTCGGCTTCCCTTCCAACCGTGAGGTGGCGCTGCGAGAGCTCAACCATGCTCATGACGGCGGAGGTGTCCGTTCCCCGATCGCCGCGCTGCTCTTGTTGCTCTACCACGTCGTCATCCAGTCCTTCTTTGGGTTTGACTCGGCAGAGCATATTGCTGAGGCAAACCGTGTTCTGGGCCGCAGTCTCCAGCGCTTCCCAGACGGCGGCCTCTTCCTTGTCCTCAGCGGTCGCTTCAACCGCCTCAAGCGCGACATTAACGCGTCCATCCGCGACTTTGAGCGCGCAGTCGAGGCGCAAAAGGACTGGAAGCAGCTGCAACACTTGTGCTTTTACGAACTCGGCTGGTGCCACTTTTTCAACCAGCAGTTTGCCGAGTCGTACGACTATTTCGGGCGTCTCGTGAAGGACAACGAATGGTCGAAAGGCTTTTACGTCTACATGCAGGGCTTGTGCAAGCTCGAACTTGGGCAGCGCGAGGAGGCCATCACGCTGCTTCGCTCCGTCTCGGACTACATGTCGCGTCGCTACGGTGGCAAGACAATCTCCGTTGAGCAGTACGTTGGTCGCAAGGTGAAGCAGTACGTCTCGGCAGACGGCCAGGTGTCGATGGTGCTGCCCGCGCTCGAAATGATGTATCTCTGGAATGGCTTTGCGCAAATCAGCCGATCGGCTGTCAAGCAATTGCACGATCAGCTGGAGGCCTGGGTACTGGTCCCCGAAAACGCCGAGCGCATCGCCAGCGATCCCGATGTGGCAGCCCTGGTGCGCCTGCTCCGCGCATCCATGCTTCGCGAACAAGGGCCAGAGTTTTTCACCAAAGCGATGGAGCAATTAGAGGTGCTCGAGAGCACCAAGTCCACCATCACCAGCGAGCTGTGGATCATCCCGCATGGTCGCTACGAGCAGGCTGCCATATTGCTGATGGCCAAGACGGACGACAAGAAAGCCAAGCAGATGCTGGTGAAGGCTCAGCGGTACAACCAGGACTACAACTTTGAGATGCGATTGCGTCTCAAGATGCACTTGACCTGGGACCATCTCAAGGGTATGCAAGACACTGGTGATGATGACGGCACCGACGACAATTAGATTGCCGCGCTGCTGGTGACAAGTTTTGAGTGTGTGCGTGTGTGAGTGTGTGGTTTTTTTTTTTGTCGTTTGGTTGTGCGTTTGTGTTTGCGTTGGTATTGGAAGAAGGGGTCAAGCGTGTTGTTTGACTAGTTGTGCAGCATCCAATACAATAAAAGAACGATTTACGTTTCATCTATGTGGTCCCGCCTGCCAGTGTGAGCAGCGAAGAGAAGCTAGGCAAAATGGAAAAGCGTCCGCTCGTGAAGCCGCCGTTCGGAGCGTGCATTGCAACCGCAATCGGATGCAGCTCATCCAGGTACTGTTGTTCGAAATGCCAGCGGTCCAGGGGGATGTTGTCGACAGCGCAAGTCACGTTGCTTGTGATTTGCTGTCAGTCAGAGGCGCGGGTGAGTTTCAAAGTGAAGTCTCGTGCCAGCACTCCCGCAATCCTCTTTGGTTTTGGTTGTCTGCTTTGTTCTCGAGCTCTCGACTGTACCTGTATGCGAAGGTCGAGGGGAATCGACGCATCTTCCGTCAAGCGGATTTGTGAAAGCTCCATGCCAAGGCCAGCTCCAATCGCCTTGACGTAGCACTCTTTCAGTGTCCAGAAGCGGTAAAACGCATGCAATCTATTGCTTTTCTCGGCGATTTCATGGCTTGGTTGGGATTGAATGTAGCGAAATTCGTCGGGATGGAACTGTGCGGGCAGCGATCAGTGAAACTGTTGTAGACCAGTGCACCTGCCACTTGGAATGAAACAAGTGAAACATACACACACACCATCCACACTTACTGCTGTCTTCATCACGCCAATGTAGCTGTCAATGGATTCACGCGCAGGCGGCGCATCAATTCGCATGACATCCACGCCAACCATGCAGTTGGGCGCCACCGCCGCCACCACGGCGACATAGTCCCCATGATGCGACGAATTGAAGTGGACCTCGGGGTGCGCGATGGACGAGTCAGCGGCGGCGGTCTGCGACCAATTCCCAAGAATTGGATCCAAATTTGCCCAGAAATTGCATATGGGTGAGTGACCCCTAGTCCTAGTGTGTGAGATGACTATCACTGAATTCAACCAAGTACACGCGTACCAAGTACGGCTTGCCGGTCGGCGTGCGGCGCAATCGAGCGGAGAGTTCGGCCGGAGTGAGCAGTCCCAGCTCGGCCGCTGCAATCTGGCGCAGCGCAGCACGGATGAGCAGCTGGCCAGCAAGGGCGAGCTTGGCGTCGCGCTTGAAGACGAACTTGTCAATGCGCCCTGCGACGTCTGCCGGATCGGCGAGGCTGCACGCCGCTGCCCACTCTCCGTCGTCGTCGGGCGTCGTCCACCGCGAGACGTTGAATGCGATTCGAAGCAGCACTTTGGTTCAAAAGTGAATCACAAGAAGAAATAGAAAACAATCTCAGAAACAAAGGAGTGAGTTTGCGCTTCAGCGTTTGGATTCACTGCTGATCCAGCGTTACGCAGTGTGATCATTGTTGCTCTGAGCTTCATTTTCCCCCTCTCAGTTCGTCCAGTCAGTTTCTCAGTTGGCCAACGAGCTCATTCCTTGTTTTTTCTGAGATTCTCGTTTCGTTTCAGTTTGAAATGGACGCTCAGCTGCTTTCGCTCGTTCGCGCTTCCAAGACGCCCCTCGCCGTCCACCAGCTGCGCTCCATGCTGGCGCGGCCATCGTCCCCACAACAGCCAGAAGACCGCGAGACCAAGCGCCCGCGACTCTCTCCCGCTGCAAAGGACGACGAGGCGGCAGAACCGACACAAGCGGACGTCCTCGACGCTGTGCAGCGCCTCTGCGAGCAAAGAGCAATGTGAGGCCTGACTGTGACCTTGAGCCAGTCACACTTCCACGAGATTGAAGGAGCAAGGAAGGACGGAAGGAAGGAAGGAAGGTGGAACAAAGTCAGCCAACTTGCAAAGTTGCCTGCGAAACTGAAACGCGTTCAACTTTTTCCCGCCAAATTTTTTTCTTCTTTTTTCCTTGGCTTTTCTTTGCGTTGATCTCAAGTTCGCAGATTATTTCGCAACTGTCGCTGTTTTCGTTGCACTCATCGCACTGATTGTTTTGCATCTTGTCCAGAGAGCACAAGCTTGTTTCGGAAAACCCGCGTTTAGAGCTCGTTTGGAGCGCGCTGGCGGTCTGGCCAACACTCGCAGTCGCAACCATCGAGCCTCTGCCATCAGCACCTGCAAAAGAGACCCCAATGGACACGGCTTCTGCGGAACACAGCCAAGAGGCGGCAGTGCAAGATTCAGGCAAGGCAACCACTCCCACACGACCGACAATCTCAACGCCCAGCAAGACCACGCCCGGCTCGCGACACCGGCAATTCAAGCGCCCTGGTGCGTTTGTCTCGCCCATGTCTGCAGTACGTATTTTTTTCGGAATTCGATGCTGCGTGTGCATCGAGGTTCTGATCGAAGTGTTTTCTGTTGCGATGTCGCATCTAGAAACCCGTGTCTCGAGAGACTGTCGTTTCGAACGTCAAAAGTAAACATGCCGAGCTTGAGGCGGTTGAGCGGGAACTGGCGCAGCTGGATGGCGAGTAAGCAGCCTATTGTTGCTCAACCGAAAAAAACAATCGGGGAAAGTCTGTTGATTTTTGACTTCTCCTTGGCACTTTTCTTGGGGAAAACACAGATACTCAATCCAAGAACTCCAAGATCATATCACCAAGTTGCACGAGTACAATGAGATCAAGGATGCTGGCCAGATTGTGTTGGGCCGATTGGGTGAGTTTTTCCAAACAAGAGCGTTTTGCCAGCGCGATGCCCATCATGTCAACTCACTTCCAGAGCCGTGATGGGTTCCATGTGTGCTGTGTTTCATGTAGCTGAAATCCGCAACGTCACCACGAAGGCCATGTACGCCGAGTTTGAGTTGAGTTTGGATGATTGAAAACGCTCTCTGTTCTTGTTGTCATTAAAGCACCACTTTCAGGTCTTTTTGATGTGGTTGTCAAGTCACCTCGATGACACCTCGATGAGTGAATTAACGCCACAGCTCATCCTTGCAGAAGACATGCTCTTGCGCACTTTTGTGTGCGAACAATGCCAGCAAAAAGCAATTCCACCACAACTCCACCAAACTGATCTCAACTCCACTTCAACCCTTGTGATTTCGCAACAAACAAAAGTTCATCCCTTGCACTCATCATTTTCCCAGTCAACACAAACGACCATGTCATTGTCGGTGGACGAGCGTTTCACGCTGATCAATCGCAACCTGCAGGAAATCCTCGGCGCTGACGAGCTCAAGAAGCTTCTTGCCGAGCGCGACCCGGTGCTCTACTGGGGCACTGCGACCACCGGTGCGTATTCTAATTCCCTGACTGAGAAGCGACTTCCCCCCCCCCTTTGATAGGGAGAGAGAGACAGTGAGCTGTTCGCGATCTCGGTTTTTTTCTTTTCCTATGCTCACTCCCCTCCCCTCCCCTCCCCCGTGTGTCTTCGTCCTGTGGACTAGGTCGCCCGCACATTGGCTACTTTGTCCCCATGACCAAGATTGCCGACTTCCTCAAGGCTGGCTGCCAGGTGAGCGAAACGAGGCTGTTCAACGCGCCGAATACAGCACACTACCATGTGCCTACCCCCTTCAGGTGGATGATGAAACGTCATCCCTGCACTCACTAGAGTCGCATGGGTGTGGAGTTCCATTCTACACGACGGAGGCGGGGGGGCGGGGTTTGACCTTGGACTTGGCGCGCTGATTCGCCTCAACTCTGTGGTGGTGGTGTATGACGGAAGACGCAATGCCGATGATGTGATTGCATTTCGCCCCACCTCTCATCGTCACAGCAAATGGGAGGTGGACGTACATGCTTGAAAACCACTGTTGCTTGACCTGTGGTCGGAAGCGACTTGAGACGGGGGTCCAAAACCCATCACATCTCCAACAGACGACAACAAAACACTCACACCCCCTTCACACTCTTGTTGACTCTGCAGGTCACCATCCTGTTCGCAGACCTCCACGCCTACCTGGACAACATGAAGGCACCGTGGGAGCTGCTCAAGCTGCGCACAGAGTACTACGAGGCCGTCATCAAGGCGCTGCTCGAGTCGGTCGGCTGCAACTTGGAAAAGCTCAAGTTTGTGCGCGGCACCAGCTACCAGCTGTCGGAGGCGTACACGTTGGATGTCTACCGCATGTCGTCGCTGGTGACCGAGCACGACGCCAAGAAGGCTGGCGCTGAAGTCGTCAAGCAGGTCGACAACGCTCTGCTCTCCGGCCTCCTCTACCCGGGCCTCCAGGCTCTGGACGAGGAGTACCTCAAGGTGGACGCGCAGTTTGGCGGCGTCGATCAGCGCAAGATTTTCACCTTTGCCGAAAAGTACATGCCCGCTCTTGGCTACAAGAAGCGCATCCATCTGATGAACCCGATGGTGCCTGGTCTCCAGGGCTCCAAGATGAGCTCGTCCGAGCCCGACTCCAAGATTGATCTTTTGGACGACCCCAAGGCTGTCAACCTGAAGCTCAAGAAGGCCTTCTGCGAGGAGGGCAACGTTGAGAACAATGGCGTCCTCAGCTTTGTCAAGATGGTGCTCATGCCGCTCCGATCGCTCAAGGGCATCACGACCTTTGAGATCACGCGCCCAGAAAAGTACGGCGGCAACCGCACCTTCAACTCCTTCCAGGAGCTCGAGGATGCGTTCAAAAACCGCGAAATCTTCCCGACCGACCTCAAGAACGCCGTCGAGACCGAGATCAACGGCCTCCTCGCCCCAATCCGCGCTCGCTTTGACAACCCTGACCTGATCAAGCTGACCGAGCAGGCCTACCCTCAGGAGGCCCTGTTCGCGCTCGTCAAGAACTACGACGCTGAGATTCGCAAGCCCGATGCCAACGTTACCGCTCTGCACGCCGCCGCCGTCGCCAAGGCCGAGCAGCACGCGCCCGCTGGCCCCGTCACCGACTCGCGTGGCAAGCGCACCGCCAAGGGTGCCCTGCTCGACACCCTGAAGGAGATGGCGGACAAGCCAAAGAAGGTCATCAACCCCTCGGTGCTGGCTCGCCTTGTTACTGACTGCTTCATCACCGTGTCGACCGTGGCATCATCGTCGGATGCTGCGGAGGGCGAGAGCAAGGACGCCGCTCTCGCAAGCTCCTCCGGCGAGGCTGCTGACTCTGGCAAGGGCAAGAAGGCTGCTGCTGCATCATCCACGCCAAAAGGCGGCAAGGCGGCTGCTGCTGCAGAGACGGAGGCCCCCGTCGATGTTGCTCGCATTGATATTCGCGTCGGCCGCATTGTTTCGGCAGAGAAGCACCCCGATGCCGACTCGCTCTACCTGGAGAAGATTGACCTTGGTGAGGCTGCTCCTCGCCAAGTCATCAGCGGCCTGGCCAAGTTCATCCCACTGGACCAACTGCAAGGCAAGTTGGTGCTGTGCGTGTGCAACCTCAAGCCCATGAAGATGCGTGGCATCGAGTCGCAAGCAATGGTGCTCGCCGCCTCCAACGCCGACCACTCGATTGTTGAGCTGCTCATCCCGCCAGAGGGCAGCAAGCCAGGCGATCGCGTCGCCGTGGAGGGCTTTGCTGGCACCCCCGACGCCGTTCTCAACCCCAAGAAGCTCGTTTTCGAGACCGTTGCGGCAGAGTTCACCACCACCGACGATCTTGTCGCCGTTTACCGCAACGTGCCATTTACCGTCAACGGCAAGAACGTTGTAGCGCCTACGCTCAAGAAGGCCACCATCAAATAATCAAACCACACTTTGGTGAATGTGAACTTTTTAGTTTTTTTGGCTCGTTGTGATTCGCTTCCTGTCGTGGTTTGTGGTTGTTGTTTTTTTGTTGGGCAATACAAGCTTCGCTCTTGACCATTGCTTTTCGTTGTTGTTTTCGGAGGAGGGGCAAGGACTATGCATGGTGGTGGCTATTTCGTTAAACTATGGAACCAGCTTTTTTAATCATCGAAAAAAAAAAACCAAAAAAGCCAGACATCTACAAAAAAAAAAGTAATCAAAGCGCTCGTGAACCACGACGTGCAGTAAGGAAAAAAAAAGCAATAACATTGAATTGTAAGAGGAATATTGAGAGGCAAACACCGAGTGACTCGAGTGACTAGAGAAGGGGAAAATTACACGGTGGGGACCTCAATGTCAGCAAAGAATTGATCAACATCGATGGGATCGATTTTGAAGTCTTCAGGCGACAACGGAGCAGCGGCAGCGGGAACCGGGGCGGGAGCAGGTGCTGCAGCCGGCTTGGCCTCGGGCTTGAGCGTGCTGGATTGGTTTGCAAAAATGTCCAAGAAGCTCGGTGCCTTTTCACCAGAATTGCTCTCAGTCCGGCCAGTTTTGCCGCTAGTGGCATTGATGAAGTGAGACTCGTCAAAGTTTTGCTGGAGCTTTTCCAGGTCAGCCAAGTCGACGTCCACACCTCCGGCGGCCGATGCCTCGGGGAAGTTTGTTGAGGACGAGGCCACAGAGGGCATGGTGGTCGTGGAGGGAGCCGTCGACACGTTGGGCGATGGGTGGTCAAACTCGTCAGTCACACCATGCACGTTCATGTTCTTGAAAATGTCGTCGAGGTCGTCTGCTGCGCGGTTGGGGCCCTTCTTCATGTCGCGCTTTTGCTCGGCTTTAACGCCGTGTGCGCCGTCACGGTCGTAGATGGCACGGAGCTTTTCGTCGCCGAGAATGCCGTTGGCTTCGTTGATGAGCTGGAACAGGTCCTTGGCCTCCGGGTTCTTGTCGGGATGGTACTTGATGGCAAGCTTGCGGAAGGCCTTCTTGATGTCGGCCGCGCTGGCATCGCGTGGGACACCCAGCGCCTCGTAGTAATCGGGACCAGCAGGCTTGCCGCTGGCAGTCTCGCCGGCAGCAGGCTTGCCGGAGAAGGCGGCCTTGGTGGCGTCGTCCTTGGCAACGTCGACGGCCTTCTTGCTGGCAGTGTTTTTGAGGTCTTGGTTGGCCTTGAGGGCAATGAGCGCCCGCACGGCATCAGCGCGGCCGCGGATTGCCGCCAAGTGGAGCGGCGTGTTCTTTTCCTCGTTCAGACTGTCGAGATTGGCACCCTTCTGGGCGAGCAGCTCGATAATGTTGACAAAGCCGCTCTCGGCAGCGTAATGCAGGGGGGTCTTTTGCATCGAGCCGCGCTCCTCCGTGTGTGCGCCCTTGTTCAGCAGGAACTCGACCATCGAGTACAGGTTGGCGAGGACGGCAAGGTGGATGCAGCTTTCGCCGTACGTTGTCTTGTCGGTCACGCTCGCGCCATAGTCGAGCAAGCAAGCGAGCACGGGCGCCTTGCCAGACTCGGTGGCAATGTGCACAGGCAGCTTGCCGCTGTCGTCGCGCTCGGCGGTCGTGGCGAGCATTTTCGAGTTGGACACCGTGCCCTTGAACGTGCCCTTCCAAAATCCAGACTTGGCTTCCAGCACCTTTTGGATTTCAATCACGTCGCCGGCGCGAACAGCAGCAAACAGCTGCTCCATCTTCTTGTTGCCCATGGTGATAAGGGAGAGAGGTCGAATGGGAGTGTTTTCTCAGAGTTCTGTTTTAGGAGATGGTCAACCTTAAAAAGGGTTGTTTTTGTTTCTAGTAAGGTTTGACGTTCCGAAGCCCAGTCGCTCTCGCGTGCACACTTGGAGGGAATGTGCTTCGAGTGTGGAAAAACTTGGAGGCAAAAAGAAGGATCCAAAGCTCCGCTCAAATGGGCGACGAGAAGCGAGGATGTAGGTGAGAAGGGAAAAAAAAAGGGGAGCTCTGTGGTTGTTTCACATCCAAATACAAGCAAAAGGTCGTGAGTGAGTGTGAGTGAGCGTGGGCACGACAGCAAACACAGAGAAACATCATAAAAGATGTCGGCGATTTGAGAGAGTGTGTCGAGAATCGGGGAGATGCGGGTTGAATGCGAGAGTGGCACACAGGAGAAGCACGAAGCGAATGACTGAAAAAGCGATTGGACGCTCGTTCCCGTCTCACTGCCACACACAGCGGAACTGATCAGCAGAAGCCGCCATTCGTCTTCCCTGAGAGGGCCCCACTTCTCTCTCCACTGCGCAGAGGTGCAGCAGTGAAGCAAAGGGGGTCACGAAACAACTTGGCGCACCAACTCTCTTTCAACCATTCGTTCGTTCCCCCTTCACGGATGCCCCCATTCTGACCTCATCCCATCCCATCCCATCTCTCATCCCATCGCTCTTCTCGTCGCCTCACTCTGCCAGCATCATCAGCAGCATTGTAGCATTGTAGCATTGTGGTTCGCTGTGGTTTTATTATTTTTTTATTTTATTTATTTTTTTTTTTGCCGATTCTGGTTGTTTTGCTTCGCTTTGCTTTGGTCCTCTGTGCTGCCAACCAACTCTCTCTCCAACTCTCTCTCTCTCTCCCACCCCCGCCTTCCTTGCCTGAATCACTCAGCTAGACGCAGGACAAGGCGTGGCTTTGCACACACCAGCAGCAAGCGCAGCATCGGAAAGCACAAGGAAAAGGCAAAATTCGTCACAAAATAATAATAAAAATAATAATAAATAATAATAATAAATAACAATAATAATAAAAAACAGTAAATCGTGAGGTTGAAGGCACAAGGGAAAAAACGAAAGGCTGCTGCAGACAGGCGGGATTGAGCCCGCGGTGGCCCAAAGCGAAAGGCAGAGAAGCAGATGGCGCAAGTGAGGATGCGAGGACGGCACTCCCCACCCCCTTGCCCCCTTCTACCCCACTCCGCGTGCGCACTGCGCTCCCGACCGAAAAACCGTCAATGGTCAAAATCCTGGTTGCTTTTTTTTTTTTTTTTTTTTTTTTTTGGGGGAGAAATCGACCCACGTCCATCGAGCCACTCTCTCATACTCTCACACTCTCACTCTACCCACTTCTTCGCATGGGGGGTATGTTGTACGAAACACTTTTGACTTTGAAGTGGTGGCAGCCAGTGTTCTGCGTGTGGACCAACACTAAAAAAAAAAAAGGCGACCAAACCCTTACAAGAAAAAAAAAAAAAAAGAGTGGATCTGAGTTGACAAGTCTGATGCGCAAGACAAAAATATGAATGCTTGGTCAAGTTCACGTGGAACAGCGAGCAAACCGTGCATGTATGTGGGAGCGCGGGGGGGGGGGAAAGACAGATAAAAAGCAAGTGGGAATCGATTTTGTACAAAAAAAAATCACAACAACTCCAAATCTCAAACAAAAGAAATCACATCACAGCCTATGGCGCGGGGAAGCAATAGGCAATCGTGTAGCGGTAGTCGCCATTGCCGTTGCTGCGGACGATGGTGGAGCACATGCGGAGGGGAATCCGGAACTTTTGGCGATGCAGCCCAATGCAGGAGGCCTGGTAGTGCGTGGCTCCGCACAGCACGGCACAAATGTGCATGAACATGCAGGCGTCCTTGTCCTCGACGGCAAGGAGGTTGTACGCAAACCGCACTTCGGCAAATATTTCGTCCGTCGTGTAGCCGACAAGCCGGCACAGCTCATCGTTTGCGAACAGGATGATGGCGTTCGTGCCCCACTCGACGTACGGAATGCGGAGAGCGTTCGCTGCCTCGGGGGTCATCACGGGCTCCCACGGGACAAAGTTACTCAAGAGCGCCCTTCGGAAGAGAACCTTTGCAACATCGACAAACTCGCTGGCGCCACGCGTGGTGTGCGATTTGATTTCTTCCAGGATGGCACCAAACGGCCGCTTGGTCGTCGACTTGACCACATTGATTTCCGGAAGCGATCCGACGACCCCTCTCATCATTTCGTAGTTGAGCTCGCGAATCCTCACAGCAATGTCCATGAGTGGCATTGCCAACGGGAACAGCCGGCTCTTCCAATTGTCATATGCGACCAGCACTGATGCAGAGGAGCAAGGTCGCCCATTGTGAGCACAGGAAGTAACGGCAGACAGGTTCCTTTTTTGCGAGGCAGTCAAAACAAAAACCACAAGGATCGGAGAAGGACATTACCTTCGGAAGACGAGTTTGCCGTCGGAGACTGCCAGACTAGTATGTCTGCTCGAAGAAGGCGGTCGCTGTCAAGGACAATAAGAGGCTTGTTGTCGCTGACTTGATCTACAGGGCGGGAAAGAAAAGAAAGAAAATGCGACAAAGTTGTAAGCGAATGAAATTGCACGTCGCCACCCCCCTTTCCTGTCCCCTCCCATCAAAATCATGGCTGAACGTACTCAATTCAGGCACGCTCGACACACACGTCGGTAATGGCTTGACTTGAGCAATGGCCGCATTGAACAAGGAGGGCAAATCAAACCCGGGGTTGAGCGGCAGCCAGTTGTTGGAGCCAGAGAGCCCAAAGCCAAGGTCGGCAAAGGAGAACATGGCTCCAGTGTCAGCGTTAGTGCTCAGGAAGTTAAGGAGGGAATCGGGTGAGTGGATGGACGAGAGTGCGAGCGCGCTGGCCGATCTTGGCTGGGTGCTGCTCGCGGTCGTGGGATTGGGTTTGGTCTGTACTTGCAACTCTGATGCAGCGGTAGATACTGACTCTTTGTCATCATGGTCGTCGTCGTCCAACGACTCCAGAGTGGCCCGCGAACGCTTGGAGCGCAGCGAGTCCAACGCGGGCGAGCCCAGCGGTTCCGTCAACACATCTGCCGAGACTCCAATGCTGCTGAGCTCGTCTCCCAGAGTAAATGCCTCCGACGCTGGTCGTTTTACAGCAAAGTTGAAATCAAGTGGTGATGTTTTATCGGGCGTATGAATGGAGGGCGACCGGTCGGGGACGGTCTGCGCCACCGCAGCAGGAGCAACGCGGCCTGGGGATGACTGCGGGCTTGCAGTGACCGATTGCTGTTGACTGGGCTGTGTAACTAGTGATGAAGCGAGCCCTAATTGCTGATTGGTTGGCTGGACAGCCAACTGCTGAGGAACAGGTTGTGACTGCAACTTTTGTGGCTGTTGCGGCTGCTGTGGTGCCTGCTGCTGTTGCGACTGTACACTACTGGGCTGCTGCGGGTGTTGTTGAGAAACAAAGTGCTGCTGTTGCTGCTGTTGCTGCTGTTGTTGGGGTTGCTGTTGGGGTTGTTGGGGTTGCTGCGAAAACGATTGTTGCGGCTGTTGTGAAAGTTGCTGAAATGGTGCTTGTTGAGTAGGAAGCATGTAGGAAGGTTGCGCTATCTGCATTTGAATGGAGTGAGACTGCAGCGATGGCTGCTGCATCTGTTGCTGCTGCTGCTGCTGCTGCTGCGGTTGGACAATCGAGTACACGGCTGGCTGAGCGGCGACGAAATGCGTTGCGCTCTGCTGATGTGGGACGAAGGATTGCTGGAAGTACGTGGTGGTGTTTTGGCCCCAAGAGTTGAAGGGTGCTGCAAACTGCACGGGTGTGGTTACGGTCGCCGGTTGGGTAGACCAGCCATTCGCGGGCATCCATACCTGTGGCATTTGTTGCACAGCCATTGAGACTTGCTGTTGCTGTAGTTGCTGCTGCGGTTGCTGCACGACAGAGCTCTGTAGGCTTTGCGCCAACAGTACAGCAGGCGAGGATGTTAGAGGAGAAAATGAGCTGGAGGAAGAGGAAGAAGCGTTGGTGTAGGACTGGGCAACGTCGAGATTGAGCGCAGTGCCGACATGCACGGGAGTGCCGACGGTAGAAGTGCTCGCCATCAGCGGCGTGTTCGCAGCCGAGCTCGACCAACCTGCTGGCGAGGCGGAGGCGACATCAGCAAGCGCGTTGAGCCAGAGTGTGTCACTGCCCGTCGATCCTCCACCCTTCGGCAATGCGACCTTTGGCAGTGAAACAGCGCTACCAATCTCGCTCGTCGACGATGAGCGCGGCGACGGAGACGAGTCCGACATTTTGCGGCGTGCCTGTTGTTTCGGCTTACTTGGCTTTGGCTCTACCGCAGCGATAGATTCTGCGAGCAAGTCTGTCTCGTTATCTGCAAAGGTTTGACAATCCCAAACAAGCCAAGCGATACACCGTTGTCAGCGATCAATTACCAGCTCAATACGCATAATGCAACGAAAACCCATATCGCTTTGAAAATCACCCAATCCCGCGAGTATAAAGGAACACGAAACATTGAAACCGATGCCGTCTTCCAAGAGTTTGAAAACCCGCCAACTTTGAGAAGCCGTATTGAAATTGCATTGCGGAGGTTTTGAGCGGAAACTAAACTTTCCAGCTTTTGTGTTTGTTTTTTGTGCCCTTCTTTTGCTTTCGTTTACTTTCGTTTGCTTCTCATTGTTCGCATTGTTCGCATTCAAAGCACAGAGGCGAACACACCAACGATGAGTGGCGGCCATGCCACGAACTGGCGGCGATTAGAGCGGTGGAAAAAAAAAAAATAAGGCGACGATAACATTGGCAGCCACACATTGCCACGTGACGGATCTTCCCTCCTCCACCACCCCCCAGGCGGATGTGCAAGGAACAGGACACGCAATTCTCACCGCACTCACGCACTCTGGCCAGTCACAGCCGCCTCACAATGCGCTCCATTTCGTCGAGCGGGAGTTTGTAATGGAAAATGACAGTCAGACCTCCGCCGCTCTGTTCTTCTCCACCACCTCCAGCGTCCTTCCGCTCAGCACGCAACGGTCCCTCTCTTCATCATTGACATTACTCTTAAAACAAAAGCGGACCCCCCCCCCCCAAGTGAGCGAGTCAAAAGCAAAGAAAAAAAAAGCCAATGCGGAAAAAAAAGCCCAATAAATGATCTGAAGCATAAATAAATAAATCAAAAAAAAAAAAAAAAAAAAAAAAAGGCCCAAACCTGAGAGGAACGATGATGCGCCTGAAGCGAGCGTTGCGGCGTCGTCCTTGTCTTCCTTGGGCGGGCGGCCGCGGCGGGTGGCGGAGGGGTCCTCGCAGGCCTTGGGGAGCTGCAGGCGCACGCATCGGCCGCAGGGGCGCTGGCCATCGCACGCGCGGTGTGCGGAGCGGCACGCTGTGCATGAGACGGCGACAACGAGATTGTGCCCAATGACCTTTGGCTGCGGCTTGTTCTGCTGCTGCTGCTGATGTTGTTGTTGCTGTTGCTGCTGCTGCTGTGGGTGCGATTGGAGCGATGCGGGAGAGGCGGCGGCGGAGGACGACGACAGGCCAAACAGTCCGAACGAAGGTGTAGCAGCGTCGGGAGTGAGGTTGTGCTCCGACCGTCCGCTGCTGCTGCTGGACGGCGCGGGCGACTGCTGCTCCAGGAGCTTGTCTGAGGCAGACACATTGCCAGCGAGGCCGCTCGGCTCGTGGTGCAGCAGTCCGGCTTCAGCAGAACACGACGGAGTTGCCATGCTCACCATTGCCCGGCAAAAAAAAAAAAAAGAAAAAAAAAAAATCCCGCTGAGCTAAAAAGAGCAGCAACCGAGTGTGATTGATTGCAATTTGGGGACCCGGACAAGTTTGTAGACTGGTCTCTACAAAGGAGAGAATGGGATGGATGGAAGGTATCCCAGCTCCACGAAAAATCAAAACCCGGAGCAAAAAGCAAAAGCAACAGCAAAAGCGGGGGAACGCTTCAAAATACCCGAAGAAAAAGCAAAAGCAACAGCAAACAAAAGGTGACTGTAAAAACTAAGACTGAGACATGTCCACTTATAATTTCATCAAAGGCAACGTGCGCATCCAAGCAGATCAAGAGCAAACACTGTGCAATACGCTCTTTTTGAGTAACCCAACTCAATCTAAAAGTCTTGCTCGTGGTCCGCATCGGCATTCTCCGTTTGCTTCTTGAGCGACTTGAACTTTGGATTGTCAACAATCGCGTTCAGCAAGCCACCAGCACCGACGCTGGCTGCCGGTTGGGGTTTGGGCTCGGGTTGCTGTTTGGTTTCAACCTTCCGAAGGGCAAACCCATTTGTGATTTCGGTCAAAAGGCTCGACCGCGAAGTCGTCGAAACGTGTGAAGCAGCTACTGCGGGAGCTGCAGGCATCGATGCTGGCGGAGGAGGAGGAGGAGGAGGAGACGATCTCGCAGCCACAGCCGCCTGGGTCGCCACGACCGCGGCCGGGCCTGCTCCTGCTAGAGAAGCGCGAGTTTCCTGACATGACACAGGTGCAATTGGCGCAGGCGGGGTTGCGAGTTGCTTTTTCGGGAGGCTTGAAGCTTTCCGCTCGACCTTCTTCTTTTGGGTTGATTCATCTCGTTTGGCGTCTTCTGCCTTCATCGTTTCGGGCTTCTACGTGTGTGCAAGTGTGCATGTTAAAAAAAGCTGTAAGCGACTTCACTGAACAGCCCACGAGCCACCCTTCACGATGGTTACCTTCGGTCGCCGAGCCAGATCGTTCTTGGGCGCTGGGCTCATCTTGCTCTGTTCATGACGCTGCTCGCAATCAACACAAACACGTGAGACCACAATGAATCGATCACAATCTCTCCATCGTGGTTGGCGTACTTGTTGGATTTCGATGCGTGGTTTCATCTTGACCTCATCAGCTCGGCGACTGCTCATGGTGCGCTTGATGGCTTGCTTCTTTTGCTCCTAAACGCACGAACGCCCAAAATCAGTGCTCGTAAGCTCCTGAGCGCGCAGAATGAGCTCCAAGCACGACAACAACTCACAATGGTTCGGCGCAAATCAGCCAAAGCCGCGCTCTGTTCCGCATAGGCTGCCTCGTGGAGCTTGACTTGCTGCTCGATCTGCACGTCCTTGGGGAAGGCCAGCTGGCGGGCTTGCCACTCTTCGTGGTAAAGTTTGGCCACAACCTGCGCCTCCTGCGCTTGCTTGAGCTGTTGTGTTTGAAAGAAAAATAAAAAACAAAAACAAGGACAAAACACACAAAAGTGAATGCCGAGCAAAGAACAAAAACAAGTAAAACGTTGCCGCTTACCGCATTCTCTAGCAGCTCAATATCGAGTGCCTGTTTCTGGTTGAAAAAGGCCGCTTGCAGATTCTTGAGATCAAACAACTCATACGCGGAGCTCGACGCTGCCTCGGCCGCCTTGATGGCAGCTGCCGTTCGTGACAGGTAGTGCGCATTGACATCCACTTGTGCCTCGAGAACGTGTTGGCGGACGCGCTGCAGAACGTTCTCGAGATGCTTTTTGACCTTGGCCAGCTCTGCAACCTCCTGCCGATACCGAGCCTTGCCGCCGGTTGTGAGCAGCATTGGCTCGATGAGCTGGTGTGAAGAGATTGCGCGGAGGACGTCCTTCTTGAGATTGTCAGCCAGCTTGCTCACTTCGTGAAACGTGTCTTGCAGAAATTCGACAAACACCTCGTCGTGGACGAGGTCGGCAGCCACCGCTTGAGTTGCATCGACCTTCGCTGAAGCAGCCTGTTGCGCTTCCTTTACGGCAAGTTCCAGCTCCTGCTCGACGGCCTCGATGCTGTAGCGGAACTGCGCGCTTTCTGCGGCGGCAAGCTCGGCGCCCGCGGCAATGAGAGCATCGTCCAAGTTGTTGCAAAGCTCGGCAGGCAGCTTTAAACATTCTCTGGAAGAGAGTGGGCCCACGCTGGTGTCACTATTCGTGATAGGGTTGGCGTCAGTACTACTACCAGCAGGCTCGGAAGGCTCGGAGGGTTCGACCGGGGTGGCGGCTGCTGCTGATGTAGTACTGGCTGCTGCTGCTGCTGCTTGCTGCTTGATCCGCCGACCCGGCCGCAATCCGCTTGCGACGCAGCTCCGCTTTCGCCAAAGACCGCTCGTGTCGGTCTTTGGCCAGTGCCTTGTTGCGGTTGTCCTTGGCAAGGTTCAGCGTCGCCCGCGCGTCGTCGACCTTCTTCTGCAGAGCGCGAAAGTTAAACTCGCCAAACGGCTCCACAACGTCGGTGACGCTGTCGTCGTCCAAGTAGAGGTTGTGCACGGTGGCACACTTCAAGAGCACGTCGCGAAGCTCCTGGCGATGGAATTTGGACTTTTCCCAGTACGCTTTGAAGTACACCTTGAGGTCATTGCAATAGCTCGCATAGGAGGCCCAGCCCGTCAACTTGCCAAGGAGGCTCGGTGGGGTGGGCAGCGGAAGGTTGGCGTCGGTGAGGTGTGTAATCGCGCCCAGGTTGGTGTCGACCGTCGCGAGAACGCTACAAGGAATGGTCGCCTCCAGCAGAACGAACGTGTCGTCCCGGAGTGCTGCCGTTGTCGTCGCAGCTGTCGACGTGCTCAATTGCGATTGGCCGGGCCCTGGTGGTGGAGGAGGAGGCGAGGGCGACTTTCCGAGAAAGCGACCATACAGCTTAAGGGGCGAAATGCCCGTTTTGGGCGCTGGCAAAGCCGGCGACGGCACGACCAGCGTCGGCGATTCCAGCAGTACCTCGCGCTGGCTCTGCAATTTGACAAAAGTGCTGCAGGCAGCATCGTTGGCTGGCAGGGCAATGACAACGCGGAGTGCATCCTTCACACCGGCTGCGACAGTGACGTCAACCACAGCAAGTTTCGCGAACGCTCCTGAGCCAGCGATGCCAATGGCAGCGGTGTTGTTGTCCGATCCGGCACCGCCCAAACATTCCTGGGGGCTTGTCTGAGAACTGAGTGCATTTTCAGCGTCTGGCTGGGGTGCTTTGGCGGCGGTGCTTGCAGAGTCGGCGTTTGGTGACTCGGGTCTGCTTTTGCTCTGAGCACCGACTGCTAAATTGGCCGCGGGTTGCTGTGCGTCGCTCCGGATGGTCGACACGGCGAGCCAGTCCTCGTCCTGCGCCGGCAGCGGAGGCAGCGACGTCTGTGGCAGTTGGGTGAGTTTTTTAAATGACGGCGAGTGCTTGGCGCGCGCAGACATGGGTGACGGAAGAAGCAACGAAGCTGACTTGTCAAACCCGAAAAGGTGCAAAAACAAAAAATTTACGACTGGCTTCTGACATTCATGGACATTTCTCAACCGAAGCGCGCGCGCGAGAGCGCGAGAGAGAGAGAGAGAGAGAGAGAGAGGGTGGGGGAGGGAATGGACCATGCATTGGACTTGTGTGTTCCGAGCAGTCGTGGCACAAACACACACAGTCAAAATCCCAAACAGCGTTTCCTTCACTTTTTATGACGAGCACGCTCATCCAAAGTCACAGCAAATGCACACACACATACACACTATGCGTGCAATCCATAACGCAGCGCTTGTTCGTCATGCGACTCCGGGGAAAACAAACCTTTCCCTTCTCAATGCAAGCTCCAGTCAATAATAATCGTGTCAATTTTTGCTGCTTTTTTTTTTTTTTTTTTTTTTTTTTGCTTTCTCGTCGCTTTCGTTTCGTTCTCGTTCTGTCTTCCCGCCTCTGCTTTTTTCCAAGCCTTCCGCGCTTGTTCTGTGGACCACTTTCTGACACACAGCGACACCTTTAACCCCCCTTCGGCCCCCCTTCCCCACGGTTTCACTGGACAAGGCACAGAGAGAGAGACGTAAAGCAAACTGTCACCTCCACGAATGGCGAGCAGCAGCGGCGGCACCAGCAGCGGCAGCAGGCCTGCGACTGGCACTCCACCGGCGACTGGGACTGCTCCTGGGACTGCTCCTGGGACTGCTCCTGGGACTGGGACTGGGACTGGGACTGCGAGTCCGACCGTGGTGAGCGCAGGCAGCATTCGGCTGCCCAATGCATTCAGCACATTGGGCCCAGCAACAACGTCGTCGCCCATTGCAGTGCCTGGCGCGGGTCCTCCACTCGCACAAGCACCAGCAGCAGCACCAGCAGCAACAGCGTCACAGCAGCAGCAGCAGCAGCTTCATCAGAGTCGGGAGTCCGGGCGTCACCACTCGACTCACTCGCCGTCGCTGTCGTCGTCATCGTCCACCCTGTCGACTGGGAGCTCCACTCGAACTGGCACGCGTCAACAACACCAGCATCAGCAACACCAGCATCAGCAACAGCAGTCCCATGGCGGCGCAAAGAGCCGCAGCAGCAAACGCTCCAATTGCCTCCACTCGCTGCTCTTTGCCATCTATGGCTTCTCGTCCCAGGAGAAGGAGGACATTGCCGAGCGCATCACAGCGAACGGCGGCCACATTGCCACGAGTGCCAACAAACAGGTAAAGCGCAAACGCACTCGCCCGCGGGCTGAGTTTTTTTGTTTGTTTGTTTGTTTGTTTGTTTGTGGTGGGAGTGACGGGTAAACTTCTGAGAATTTAGGGCGTCTGTTTGCCCGAGAATAATATATTGGGGATTCAGTTCTTGCTCTAACTTTTTGACCGTCGACTTACTCAAAACACACACAGCTCGATTTCTTTGTCACAACGAAGGCCGAGGTTGCGAATCGCTCAGCAAGACTGCTCGAGGCGTACGAACGATGCGGCGCTGTCGTGTTTGTTTCCAAGCAGTTTGTTCTCGACATTGACGAGCAGCGCAAGGAGGTCGACTACCATCCATACCTGGTTTGGACGGGCCATGACAGCTTGACGCCAGAGACGACGAGTTACCTGGCGCAGTCCACCCATGCGCACCCCTCAGGTGGTTTCAGTCTCACCTCGCTCTCAGACGAAGAGAGGAGCTCGCAGTATCACTCTGACTCGACCAATTCGTCTCGCTTTGACGTTGGCCAGTCGACCGAAGATAGCTCTGAGGGTTCCGGATCGGAAATTGACGATGTCTACGTCATGTCCCCGCCCTCCACGTCGCACATGCGGAAACGATCGCACCACGTTCCACACCACCCATCCTTCAGTGCGCGCTCGGTTCAGCGCCGCAACACCACCGGCAACATGTTGCGCAACAACTCCAGCTCGTCCGTCGGTTCGTCCAGTGACAAGGGCACCGCTGCGGGTGCTGCTGGGAATGCGCCCGCGCGTTCGGCCTCCATGTCTCGCATGCACAGCCAGCCAACCGGACTGGGCTCGGCCGGGTCGTCCACAAACTCGCTTGGCGGCGCCGGTCCACCGAGCCCGTACAGCGCAAGCTCCTCGCCTGCGCCCAGCAGTAATTTGCGTCGTACGACACCCAACCAATCTCAAGCCTCATTGGCACAGATATTCCCTCAGCCAATCTCATTGACCAGCGATGGCGCGAGGTTCAGTCGCGTCCCTGCTGGCACCAGCACGGCCAGCACTCCAAGCCCGATGCTCAGTCGCACAGGCTCTGTTTCGGGCACCGCGAGTCCATTCGACGAAGGCGGCGATTCGATGCTCCACCAGCAATTTCAGTCGACCTCAGTGTCGCCTGGCTTGAATGCCGACGAGCAAAGCGACGAGCAGAGCACTCCCACATCTCCACACGAAGTGGGAGCCGATGATCCTTGGTTTAGCAACGCCGCCGGGAGCGCCAAGCACGCCAAAAAGAAGAAGAAGCGCCAGAGCGCCAAGGAGCGCGAGCGTGAGCGGCTCTACAAGGAAAGCCTCCAGACCCGCCTCTCATCGTCACCCGTGGAGTCAATGTTGTACCGCCATCAGCCACCACCGCGAGAACTCACCAAGCCTGCAACTCCCGCCGGAAACTTTGCTGGGGCTTCTGCTGGCACGCCCTCCTCCTCCAAGGTCCTCTCCACGGAGACGTCGTCAGGGCGCCGTGATCCTGCCACTGCCACCAGCCCGGCCATCCCTGAGCCTGCAGAGTCCAGCACTGATCTGCACCTCACCTCCCAGGATCTCGATCGGGCGCTAGAGATGCACAACTTTTTCTCTCCGACGCCTTCGGGCGCAAACTCGGGCTATGTGTCACCGCTTGACGCCAATCCGGACACAATGTTTCCAAGGGATTACGCCCCAAAGCGGGTCGCTTCAGGAGCTGCTGCCCGCGCCATCCCAGGTGGCGAGCCTCAGCCATTGGTGGATTCTTCATTGCTAAACGAGTGGTTTCCGCAAGTCCAGCAGCGCGTCAAAACGGTGCTCCAACAGCGTGTCAAGCAGCAACAGCTCTATCAGCAGCAGCTGGACGATCGCCGCCTGGAAGATGCGAAAGCAAAGTTCCGCCGAGATCTATGGCTGGAATTGCGAGCCTTCTCGGCTGGTCACACGATTGACGAAGAGATGGATGCACTGCCCTCGGAGCAAGATCTCGCCACCGTCATCATTCGTGATGCGATGCGATTCCAGGTCTCCCCTGTCGCGTCCTTCTCCTTGGAACATGCCATTATCGAAGTCAATCACCGGCTTGAACAGGTCGAGCTTGCCGAACGGACCTTCTACAACGCTTTCGAGCGTAAAATCTCGTGTCAGCTGAGTCAGAAGGAAGAATTGGCGCTCAAACATCGCTTGGACGACATGTCGCTGTGGCTCAATGTCACTCGCGACCTAATTCTGCGCTTCCGCCTGGCCGTGCCTTGGTTTGGTGTCCGCCCCATGCCAAACCTCAACATTACGCCTCAGTATCAGTTTAGCAGCTTTAGCAACAACTCGGCCATCGCTGGGCTTGCATTGCAGGCGCCAAGCAGCGGCGCAACCGACTTTGCTGGCAGTGCCGACAGCGCTGCCGCGCCGACGGCATTTGCCAGCTTGCCCAGCATGACTCGCCCTGGTTTGACATCATACTCGCTTGCTGGGGGTTTGTCCACCCGACCCGCTCCAGTCTTGCAGCAGCACAACGACAGCACAAACAACAGCAGCAGCAATCCCTCGCAGTTTGCTGTATCTCTCAACCCATCTGTTGACTCGATCAACTCGACCTCGGGCTCGATCAACTCGACATCGGGCTCAATCACTGCCCCCGCTGCGTCGCTGTCATGCGATGCGTCGTCCACCACACTCATGCCTGTCGATGCGTCTGCATCTGCCAACGCACTCTCCCGTGAGGCATCGAACGTCCCCAAAATTGCCGTGTCGCGACATTCGTTGCCTCCCTCCAGCACTGAGAGCACGGACTCTGTCCTGTCCGAGATGGAAACGCACTACTCGCCTCATCTTCGTCTGATCTATCCGACAGTTGCAACATCGCCACCAGTCATCATGTCGCCCACCGATCTTCCGCCCAAGCGCACGGGCTCGCCCCGCGGTGAAGGGTACTTTCTCGGAGACAGCAACGGTCACGCATCCTCGCGCGGCTCCCAGATTGCCTCGCCGCATCCCATTGTGCCAAATGGTGTCATCAACAGCAGCGCTCGGCAAATGTCGCGACTCTCACTGAATCCGCACTCCAGAGTCGAGCGGTACGGCGAGAGCACCGCTTCCTTCCTGCACGACCAAGGGTTGGCGGCGGCTGCCCGCATGTCCGGCGAGGTTGGCGGTGGCCTGTCGAGCATGACCCCGATCTGGCTACCCAGTCCGCTCGTTCTCACGGATGATGCGGCCGCGCCCGCCGTTGGCAACCACCCAAACGGCTTGTGGCCGAGCCTCAATGGGGTCCCATTCACCCCTGTCACGCCAGCAACGCCATTCACGCCCTTCTCAATGACTGGGAGCGCCGGTGGCAGCAGCAGCACCACGCCTCCACCACTGTCGACTGGGCCTAGCTCAATCATCTCTCACATTGCCCAAACAAAACCCTGCCTTGCCTTTGTGCGTCGCTCGCTCAAGCGTGATGGCATTCGGCATGTGACTGAGCTCATGATGGACTTTCTTCACCCGACTCTGTCCAAGGCCAAGCGTGCCTTGGACGAACACCGCGCGGAATTTGACAAGATGGGCCTGCCTTCGTTTGAGCCACTGCTCATTTATCTGACGCGCGTGCCCTTGGGTGTCGTTCAAGAGTGTCTTCGCGAGCGACTCAACCATCTCCCAGCGTCCAAGCTTTCCGTGGCGTCCATCCAGCAGCTGATTGTGGATTTGCGCGAATGCGTTACGCAAGCGATTAACGTGCGAAAGATGTGCCAGTCACTTGTTGAGTGGGTGGTTCCCCACCCTCCGACGGCAAGTGGCTCTTCTTCTTCTGCTGCTGCTGCTTCTGCTTCTGCCACAGCGGGAGGGACATCCGCTCCTTCTGGTGGCCCGCCTTCGGCCCCAACGTCCAGCGGCACGTCATCAAACCCTCCCTCGTTCACGGGATCGACCAGTCTCTCCTTCCGCGAACGCGCAGACATTGCCAGCCAGCTTGAGCGCGACTTTTACGAGTTTGATGAAACACTCACGTCGGCTCTGGACGCCTACCTCAGTCTGTTGTGCGATCGCCTCAAAATCAGCTTGCAGGCCTCCCAGCCCTCCAGCGACACCAAGTCCATTCTCGAAACCGAGTGGGACTTTGCCAAGGATCGCGCAATGGATGTGCGCGGCGGCGAGGTGGCTGCTGCGCGGCAATTCTGTAACATGGCCGTCACCCTGTTTGATCACAGCACCACCATGTTTGAGTCAGCGCTCGACGAGGTGACGACGGCCGAACGGTCGCTCGAATCATTCCGCACCGTCCAAGAAGTGTTTGAGGATTTGAAGCGGCGCAGCGGCCAGGCGCTCGGTTTTGCCAAAATGCTGACCCGTGATCTCGAGGTGGCCATGCGCTACAAGCTGATCTCTCACCCCGTCAACTACATGACTCTTTGCGAACGCCTTGCCGACTCGGGCCATGTCCTCCTCGTGACGGCGAGCTTTGTTCCTCGACGCCAAGCAACCGCCCCTCCTCGCGGAACGTTTTCCAGCATTCCCACGACACCTCTCGATTTGGATGGCCAGGATGGCATGGGGTACTTTGATGCCACGTCTTCGTCCACGACGCCACGCCTCGCCGTGGAGGAAGGGGAAAGCATCTCGCCAAACTTCTGGGTGGTGGCGTCGCCGTTGCTCTCGCAGGCGGCCATTGAACAGCTCCTCACTGCATGCACGCCGCGAGATGTGCTGGAGGACGACATTGACGGCTACATTGTTCTGATCAACGTCCAACACGGCTGGTGCCGCGAGTGGAAGGGGCCTCGGCGAGCTGCGCGCGTCAACGCCGAGATTTCGCTGGCCTTCGCCGATATTGACGTTCCCGGGGTCAAAATCATCACTGGGAAATCATCGCAGGTGCACATTCAACAGAAGGTGTTTGAGGCCGCCTCCGGACTACCGAGCGACGTTCTCACGCCCGACGAACAGACCAGCACTCGCAAATCAGTCGAGGAGCCCATGTCGGATCTCAAGGCAGCATCGCTCAACCTCGCCCACACCCTGGTCCGTGGCGTCTACCGCATTCAACGATTCCTATCGGAAGACGCGCTGACAGACACGGAGGCGCGTATTCTGCGCGAGGTTGTGCAACGTGCATTCAACTATGCGTTCGAGTACCTGCGCGAAACGGGCAAGCTGGTGGTTGGGCAAACCAAGACTGCACTGATCCCGGACTTGCTTCGCTTTGTCCTGTCGTGGATGGAGCATGTCATTGTCGAGAACATGGCCGACGAGGGCAGGCTCCAGCCCACCTTTGCCATCCAGCAAGGGCTCACCTTTTTGGTCGACGTGTGTAGCCCCATCTCTGAAAGCCCTCCCGAATCTTCCTTGCCTTCCAGCGACGTGTGAATGACTTTTTGGATCGCATCGGTCCGCTGGAAGGAGGCGCACCGCCGCCGCGCGTGGCCGCCCCGCCGTCGAGCTTGGGACACGTGTCAGCGCATGGGTCGTCCACGTCGTTGCCCACCACGCCTCATCGAAATCCATCGCGTACGCTCTTGCACGGCGGTGGAAGCTCTGGCTTTGGGTTTGGAAGTGGGACCACATCTCCCCGTGTCTCGTCTGCGCATCCGCCCAATCGCACTCGCGCGCCTCTGCAGATGCCATCCCAGTCAGGCTTGGCATTGTCGGCGGCCGACTTGGCGCACGCCGCTGCCAACGAGGTGGCTGAACGTTCGTCGCACAATTCTCTTGCTTTTGCCTGCCCAGCACGATCAGCGATCGCAGCCGCAACAGCTGCTCAAGCTGCCGGGCTCGATTCCAAGGAGGTCGCAGCCATTCGGGAGCGCGAGCGTGCGACAGCACTCACCCGATCGCACAACGCCCAAATGGCGCACCTCTCCACCATCGACGAGTCGCGTTACCTCAAACTGCGCAGCGAGAGAAAGGTTGGTTCGGTGCTGCGAGACATTGAAGCACACTCGCACAAGGAAAACGAACTGGAGCTCTTCCAAGTCAACATTCGCTGGCAGCGTGGTCAAATGCTTGGCAAGGGCGCCTTTGGCGAAGTGTCTGTCTGCGTCAATCTGGATACCGGTGACCTGATGGCGGTCAAGGAGTTCAAGCTCTCGTCTCAGAACATTATCCGACGGAACGACTCCATCCGTCGCATCCAGCGCGAAATGGAGCTGATTGATGGTCTCGAGCACCCCAATCTTGTCCGATACTTTGGTGTCGAAGTCCATCGCGAAGTCTTGTACATTTTCATGGAGTACTGCGACGGTGGCACGCTCACCCACCTGCTGCGCAACGGCTCGATCGAGTCCGAAGACGTGATGCGTTCGTACACGTACCAGTTACTGAGCGCCGTCGATTACCTGCACACCAGTGGCATTGCGCATCGCGACATCAAGAGCGACAATATTTTCCTTGACGCTCTGGGCAACATCAAGCTCGGTGACTTTGGTGCCTGCGTCCGGCTCTTCAATGAAGAGCGCACTGTCGCCGGCGAGCTCAATGACCTTCCCGGCACGCCTGCGTTTATGGCTCCCGAGGTCTTCAAGGGCCACAAAGAAGGCGGTCATGGTCGCAAAGCCGATATTTGGAGCATTGGGTGCGTGGTGATTGAGATGGCAACCGGCAACAAGCCTTGGGCCGACCTGGAAATGCTGCAAATCATGTACCAAATCACGGTCTTGGCTGCGACGCCTCCCATGCCCGACCTTCTCAGTGACCTGGGCAAAGAATTTTTAAAGCTTTGCTTCATCATGGATCCGGCCAAGCGCCCCGCCGCAAAGCAGCTGCTATTGCATCCGTTTGTCCGGACGACAGTGTCCCGTTGAGTCGTTTCATGCGTTTTGTTTTCACTTTTTCGATTTTGACGTGTTCGTTTTTGTCGTTTGTCAATATTATCATAAATTTTGCTTCTTTTTTGGTTTTTTTCTTAACAAAGCTTTTGCCTCTTTCTTGCTCGCCTTGTGTGTTTTGCATTCGTATGGGGTGAGTGTTTGTCGATGCTGCAATGCCAGACAACAGAAAACAAAAAAACCAACAAAAAAAAAAAAAAAAAAAGAACGCTTCTTGTTGTCTTCGACGTTTCAAGCCCTGCTTGCTCCCCTCGGTGCATCGACTTCCCATCTCCTCGCAAAACAAAGTCAAAACACTCACGACTCTCGGTTGCGCTTATTTTCTGGGCGTTTGCATAGACGGCTGGCATCGCTGTACGACAAGCGCTTCCGGTTGGCGTTTTTCTGCGAAACGCCTGCCGATTGAAGATAAAGCGTTCGTTTCTCTGCCGAATTCGGATAACCAGTCTTTTATTTCTCCTTCATTGTGTTCTCTCATTCACACACACTCATACTCACACAAAGAGAGGCAAAAATGACAACTAATCCAGTGCCGCCGCTCGATTTTCAGAATACCGGACCGTCGAGTATTGACACGCTGCTCAACGCTGTGCTTGTGTTTGAGCAACCAAACGCGACCATCCATTTCAAGACGAGTGACACGGGCGACGCTCGAATCTCGTGGGGGAACAACTTGAACAAGGAACTGCTTCGCATCCGCTTTGCGAAAGACTTGAACGGTCTTGGGATTTGGACGAGCGGTATCTCGTTCCACACCCAAGCCGACACCTCGTCCTCGTCGACTCCCATCAACAACATGAACATCAACGATGACGGCGAGGTTCTTCATCGCGGCTTTACCTTCCTCGGCGCCTACTACGCATATCAAGGCCTCGCTCAGATGGAAGCCCTGCACTGGGGCACTCTGCCTCAGGCCGGCTATGTGTACGAGGCCGAGTTGCTCAACTCCCCAGCGTTCAACGCAAACCTGTGCGTCCGCATTTCCGGTGTGTTCATCCGGTCCAACAACACGATTGTTCCGCTACTGTCTGGCAACACTGAGGAGTATGTGATTGCCTATCTTCGGCGTCCAAACCACTACTCGCCTTACAGCCTCTGCCTGTATGTGGGCCCCTTTGCCTCGGCGGCCGCTGGTCGCGACTACCGTGTCGTGATTACGTATGCGCTCCAGTATCCGCCAGCACCGCCGGTCGTTCCTCCTCAGGCCTCATCCACCGTCCGGGAGCTGCCCAAGGGGGTGCTCCCGAGCCAGCGCCGCGATGAATCTGTGCGCCACAACCCGGGAGCTCCCTCGTGGAAGGAGTTGCGCGCTCTGCGCACCAATGGCGACTACCATCCCTCTCCAGACTATCGTCGGAAGCCCACCCCTGCACAGTAAAAAAAAAAAACGGAGCCGCCCACGTCGCCGCCCACGTCGCCGCCTTTCGTTTGTTTTTTTGGCTTGTCGTCCGGTGCAGTTGAACCTTCTTGCATGTGTGTTGATTGTTTTTGTTGATTTCTGCTTGACGTGCGCCGATGTTGGAATCCTACCACCAAACGGGGGGAGGGCCGGCGGGTACCCGCGCTGAAGCTGACCACAACAGTGTAAAATGGATGTTGCTTGTTTCGGATGTATGTGGGTCAATCTGCACAATGTTTGTTCACAAAGGGGAAAAAATGCACTTCATGCACCAACACGCGTCAGTAACCAGAGCCATGAAATAGCAGTTACCAGTGATCAGTCAAAAGAGGACCAAACGGAGGGGGCAAACGTCAGAATTCCACTACTGGTCGCAGTGAATCATGACCTTGATGGCACCACCGGCACCGGTCTTTGCCGTTTCAAACGCTTGAATGGCGTCGTTCAGTTTGAAGTGGTGCGTAATCAGGGGCTTGACATTCACGGTGCCTGACGCAATCATTGCGAGGGCAGTCGGATACGCGTTGACGTAGCGGAAGATGCCGCGAATGTCAACTTCACGCACAGCAGCATCGACGATGGGCATGTTCACCTCGGGTGCACCAAGGCCGACCAAGACCACCACGCCGCCGTTACGGGTCGACTGGTGGAGGTGGTTTTTGGCGATTGGTTGGTGGGGGGCAGGTGGAGACGGCGAGGAAACGGGGCAAGCAAACACAGGTAAACCAAAAACGAAAACAAAGAAGAAAAAACCAAGGAAGGACCGTTAGCCTATCAAACATATAGAAAAAGCGCAACTGCAGACTCAACGTAAGACTTACAAAGATGGCAGTTCGAAGACTGGCTTCCGCTCCGCTGCATTCGATGGCGACATCCAAGCGGCCACCAGCAAGCTCGGCAATTTGAGCCGCCACCTCCTTGGCGTCGCGGGATGTGACACGGAAGATCTTGTGAGCGCCCATGGACTTGGCGACATCCAGGCGATGTTGGTCAATGTCTGCGGTCGGATGGCGACCAACAAAGTGAGGCGGTTTTGGCGGGCTGATCAAAGAAACAACCAAAAAAAAAAAAAAAAAAAAAAAAAAAAAAAAAAAGGTGCTGCGACAACCATACCAGTCACTACGACCTCCGAAGCTCCAGCAGCCTTGGCAGCAAGCATGCAAACAAGACCGATGGGTCCTGTGGGGTTTCTCGGTCGGGCGGAAATGCGAACAATGAGCATGCAGGTTGCACACCACACCCTACTCATCTCCCTCGTTTCCCTAGAACTTCTGGGACTCACCGGCACCACAAACCAAAACGCGCGAGCCCAGAGTGACATTGGCGCGACGACAGGCGTGCACGCCCACACTCAGAGGCTCAAGCAGGGCGCCCTCTTCAAAGCTCACATGATCGGGAAGCCTGTTTGGCAGAGACGCAAAAGGTCAGCCAAACCTGACAACAACAAACCGACACACGACGACGACGACGACGACGACGACGACAATGACGACTTGAAAATAGAACTCACTTGAAGCAAAAATCTGCCGGATGGACGTAGAATCGAGCAAGCGAGCCGTTGACTGGCGGAGTGGCGCAGAACTGCATGTCGGGGCACAAGTTGTAGCGGCCAGTCTTGCAATAGCTGCACAGGCGGCATGGCACACCGGGCTCAATGGCAACACGATCGCCTGGTTTTTTTGGGGTGTTTGTTTTTTGCAGAACAATGAGAAAACCAAAATCGGTTTGGTGAGTTGCGACGAGATCCTGCGCAGACGAGCGTTGGTCTTTGGTTTGTCTCATACTTCTTCAGCTTTTGTCGAATAATACTTTGTCACTGCTCGGTCCCGCTTGTCCTTCCGTCTGATGCCTTTTTTTTTTTTTTTTTTCCTCTTCTTCGTCCTTTTCCTCTTCCTTTGCCTCTCCAATTTCCGTCGTGCGTCTTCAAAGGCCCATGTATGTCCACGTTGATGATGGGCACCTTTTTGTTGTTTCGGGCATGCTTTCTCTTCATCATCGCTCGTGTTCCGCGCCAAATCGAGCTGTCCTTTTTTTTCTTTTTTCTTTTCTTTTTTTTTTTCTTTCTGTCCTTTCTGTTGCAGGACAGCACACTGTGCATGTTCGATCTTCGCTCTTTTGAAGAGCGTTTGGCCATTCGACTGAACAAGGTTTGGCCATCACACAAAAAGCCTTCTCCAAATCTGAGAATCTGCGTTTTTTTGTTGTTGTTCATCTTGTTGTTCTTACCAGCGACCAGCGTCTTGACGTTCGCTCCGACCTCGACGACGGTGCCGCTGGACTCGTGGCCAAGGACCATCGGGCAGGTCAGCACAAAGTCGCCAATGCGGCCGTGGGTCCAGTAGTGCACGTCCGACCCGCAAATCCCGACGGCTTTCATGGCAATCAGGACGTCTGCGACAAGCCAGCACAAGCGTTCGGTTTGGTACCATGTCACACACACACAGCAGTCACTCTTCATTGCAAACAGAGGCAAGCCAGAGACGCACCGTTCGGACCAGGCGTCGGGCGGGCGACCGGTTCCTATGAAGTAGCAGGGTTTGCATTGCGTTGGGGTTGAACGTTGAGTGCGCATCAATCATGATCATCCTCAGTCAATGCAATGCACGCGACTCTCTCTCTCTCTCTCTCTCTCTCTCTGTCTCTCGGATGCAAGTGTTTGTGTGAATGGAGGTTCACAGCAAGCAAAGCAGTGCAGCGGGGCTGAAGCGCTGGTGGGGGAGGGGGGAACGTCACTGCGCAACTGTGGCTGATGGCTGATTGAATCTCACTCAATCTCACTCTACTCAATCTCACTCCAGTCATCACTCGACTCGATCCGTCAATTCAGCTCAATTCAGCTCCATTCAGCTCCATTCAGTGCTTGACTCGCTGAACTGCAGCCTCAAAACTTTGTCCCGCTTCGCTTTCTTCGCTGCTTCGCTTTCTTCGCTTCTTCCCTGTTCATCTTCAATCCGCCTCAAAATAAGCTTATTGAAGACAATGCGTTTTGCTTCGTTACCATGCGAATGTCGTTGATGCCGTGGAGAACCGCTGCAACGTTGTCAGCCATGTTTGTTTCGTGCTTTTTCGGATTTTTTTCAGAAAAGGAAGAGTAACTGAGATTTCTGAAATAGGGAACAAAATAAAAACAAATCTCACCAACACACAAGTACAAGTTTCGAAACTTGCTGCTGCACAGCGACAGTGGAGCAAGATTGAGGGCGGCAAGCGATCTGCTTATGTGACTCGAGTCTCAGAATCTTTGTGCTCAGAGCGCCGGTACTCGACCGTGGCTGTTTTTCTGCTCGTATTACTTCATTCATAGATGTCAGTCCACCTTTTTATCTCGCTTCCTCTTCCTTCCCCTTATGCTTTTCGCAGTGCTCGGAGCTCCGAGCGGACTTGGACTTGGCTGGAGTCGCATTGCGGGAGCAGTTGCTGGAGCTCGTTCCGCCTCGCTCTCAGGCGCCGCCGCAGCCCTGCTCCTTTCATCTGCCGCGCCATCGTCTCACCGTGATGAGCATGGTCGCGCAGTGCAAGCGCGGCGCTCGCTGAGCTCGGCTGCAGCTCCATCGTCCTCTTCGTCCTCCTCCTCCTCCTCCTCGTCCTCCGCTTCGCCCGCAACCGCCACGCCCAAGCCAGCGCCGACTGCAGCTTCGGGACCAGCGTCGAATTCCCCATCGACGTCGGCCGCGCAGCCGACCATCACAAACACAGACATCATTCGCACGATGGCGACCTACCTGTGGCCCAAAGACGAGCCTGCGCTCAAAGCACGCGTCGTCGCTGCCGTCGTCCTGCTCGTTGGCTCCAAGGCAAGGCCTAGGAAAGAGCAAAGCGCTCGACTGAGACTGGAATTGAAGCGAAGAAGACACACACATAGGATTTGGCGCAGAACCATGCGTTGCTGCTTGTTCCACTCACACTCGATGACTGGGATTACTTGCTTGCAGGTGCTCAATGTGCAAGTTCCGTTCTTGTTCAAGACAGCTGTGAATACGCTCAACATTCCAGTTTCCGAGATGGCAGTGAACAACACGCTGACGGTTGCCGGAACAATCCTCGTGGGATGTACGAGCCGCGCTTTTGTAAAATTCGTGGTCAGAGTGCTGTGTGCGAGCAAGTACTGACAGCCGGGCATTCTCTTCTTTGCCATGTTGGGTGTATTGCGTGTCTTCATGTTCTCCTGATTGAGCAGATGGCATTGCTCGACTGGGCTCGGCTGCGTTTGCGGAATTGCGGAATTCCGTGTTTGGGAAGGTCGCACAGCACGCAATTCGACGGATTGCCCGGAACACCTTCGAGCACATGCATGAACTCGACTCAAAGTTTCACCTGAATCGACAAACAGGCGCGCTGGTGCGTGTCATTGATCGCGGCACGCGTGGCGTCAACTTTGTTCTCACCGCCATGCTCTTCAATGTCGTGCCAACTGTTCTCGAGCTCGGCATGGTTTCCACCATTCTGGTATGTTCATTGTGCATGTGTGGGAGGAGCCTTGTCTTTCCTGCAGCAAGCTAAATCTCGCTCGTGTGTTTGGAATGTTTGCAGGGACTCAACTATGGTGCTGCGTATGCTGCCATTACCGTCGGATGCGTTATGGCATATACGGCGTTTACTCTTAGTGTGACCGAGTGGCGGTATGGTTGCTGCCAAAATGGGAATTGACGTAGCGACTTGGCTTTGTTGACTGAAATATTTTTCTCTTCCCTTGCCTGGTTTCTCCTCTCAGCACTCAATTCCGCAAGCAAATGAACCAAGCAGACGAGCAGTCTTCAACAAAAGCTATTGATTCCTTGCTCAACTTTGAAAGTGTCAAAGTAGGGTCATTCTTTCGAACTGCCTCGTGATGTCGTTGTTTTTTTTTTTTCGCTCAATTTGTTCTTGTCACTCTCTCTCTCTCTCTCTCTCTCTCTCTCTCTCGCTCAGTTGTTCAACAACGAAAAACACGAGGTCAACCGCTATGATGGCTTGCTGGCCAAGTACGAACAAGGCGCCTTGAAGACAAACTCGTCGCTGGCGCTCTTGAACTTTGGCCAGTCGGGTATCTTTAGTGTCTCGCTTGCCGCGATCATGCTCATGGCAAGTCAGGGCATTGCCAATGGTACGCATGATCTCGCCGACGTTTGTGTCTTGTTTGTGAACGCCGATTCCCCCAGCGTGCCTCACCTTTTCTGTTGATCCGCAGGAACTTTGACTGTCGGTGATCTGGTCATGGTGAACGGCCTGCTATTCCAGCTATCCATGCCGTTAAACTTTCTTGGTACGGTGTACCGAGAAGTGCGCCAATCGCTGCTTGACATGCAAGCCATGTTTGGTCTGCTGCGGCAACCGCCTGGTGTCGCTGTGCGTTTTTGCGTTTTTTTCGAAGCGTTGAACCATGTTGTTGTGGTTGTTTTTGTTTTGAGATTGTCTTCCCTCAATTTCCATGTCTTGCTTTGGTGGCGCAGAACAAACCGGACGCAACAGTCTTGAATTGCACCAAGGGAGCCATTCGATTTGAAAACGTTGTCTTTGGCTATGGAACCTCGCACAACATCCTCCAAGGACTGACTCTGGATATTCCGGCTGGCCAAAAGGTTGCTTTCGTTGGGCCTTCCGGATGCGGGTATGGCTTTCGCGGTGGTTGTTTTTTGCTTGTTTGTTTGTTTGTTGTTTGTTGTTTGTTTCTCAGCTTGCTCTTCTCACCCCTCACTCGCTCTCCAGAAAATCGACCGCCTTGAAGCTCTTGTACCGCTTTTACGACATCCAAGCCGGCAAAATTTTCATTGATGGTCAGGAAGTCCGGGATGTCACGTTGAACAGCCTGCGGTCGGCAATAGCCGTCGTCCCTCAGGACACCACCTTGTTCAATGACACGATTTACTACAATATTGCGTACGGTCGCCTGGGCGCGACGGAGCAAGAAGTGCACGAAGCCGCCAAGCACGCCGACATCCACAACACAATCATGAAGCTGCCAAAGGGATACCAGACGCTTGTCGGCGAGCGCGGTCTCAAGCTGTCGGGCGGCGAGAAGCAGCGCATTGCGCTTGCACGCGCAGTGCTCAAGAATCCGCCCATCATGCTCTTCGATGAGGCAACCAGTGCCCTTGACACTGTGACGGAGCGAAATGTGCTGGGAGCGCTTCGCCAAGTCGCCACCAACCGCACTTCGATCTTTATTGCACATCGCCTGTCGACTGTGGTGGATGCTGATCAAATCTTTGTCATGCAAGAAGGCGTGGTCACGGAGCGGGGAACGCACTCGGAATTGCTTGCCCAAAATGGGTTGTATGCCATCATGTGGGAGCAACAACAGCATCAGCCGCCAGAAGCAGACGAGCCCGAAGAGCCCGAGGAACCCCATCCAGTTGCAAATTCCCCGACTGCAGCTGTCCCGCTAACGGTTGCGAAGCCAGTTGCATAGGTCGAGTCGATCTAGATCGAAGCTTCGTATTTTGTTGCTTATGGGCGTGATTTTCCATGGCTTCCAATCATTTGATTTTGAATTAAAGTGCGATAAATGACACACAAATTTTACAACCACAGCACAACACAGAGCTTCAAAAAAAAACACAACGACGAGATAAATCTACACAGCTCTACAAACACAATTCACCAACCCTCTTGGGCGTCAGATGAATGTCGCGTCACAAGTTACAGGCGCGGTGGCATTGCCGTTTGCGCGTGAGCAACTGATACTGGAGGCCCTGACTGGTAAAACGACTCGGGGTCGGAAAAATCGGCCACCATGATTGCAGGCAGTCCGCGTTCTGCCGGAAGAATTTCTCGCTCGACCCCGAGCTGGGCCAAGGCAGTTGCAATATCTTCACTCGCTACGGGCACTGGTTCTGTCACGGGATGCCACCCGATTGGCGGCGACGATGGCGGCGACACCAAAAACGCCTTGGTATTGACCGGCACGGTTAGAGTAGCGCTGCTTGGTGGTGGCACGAACTGCCGCTGTCAGTGCAGGCGAAATTATTGAAAAACACAATCAGAGCACACGAGTGAGTTGAAACTGCAGGCATAGCTCGAGGTGTACATGCCTCACAGCGAAACAAGCGTCCGGGTTACGCGTTAGAGTCAAATTCACCGTTAACTCTTAACTCTTACCGATGCAAAGTACAAGACGAGTGGAGCACAGGCTGGCAGATGCACCTCGGGCAGAGCAGGGCGGCCGTTGAGCCTGTCGTAGCACTCGCGCGCTGCTTCGGGTGTTCTCAATGCAATGCGAATGCGACGCAGTCCGCGCATGACTGAAAACTCGTCGACGGGTCCAAACGCCTCGAATTGCGCTCGGAGCAGAGCCAGCAATGCCTCGCTCGCTGCAGAGCCGTGCTCGACGAGTCGCACATCCAGCGACCGCGCCAGGAGAATGTTGGACGAGGAGGAGGAGGAGGAGGAGGAAGGGGAGGAGGAGGAGTGCATTGCGCTTGAGCTCGAGTTGCTTGCGGCTCCTCCGTCCTGATAATGATGGTGATGGTGATCATGATGATCATGATGATGATGATGGTGAGGCATGCACGGGGTTCTTGAGTTCAGCACCAGCGACGCGTGCAGCATTGCGGCCGCGGCTCGAATAGCGTCCTCTCGCGCTGCTGCTGCTGCTTCGTCATCAGCTTGAACCCCATTGTCGCCGTGACCATCCGTGTGAGTCGCGTGCTCTGCGCCGTTGGGTGCGTTTGTATCAGTAAAGTGTCGCCGCGTCGCTTCGGCATCGTCCGAGTGCGTTTGCTCGGCTGAGGACGCGTCGGCGAGTGTGCGCGAACAAACCATTTTGGGTCTCAAATCCGCTCAGGAAAGAAGAAAAAAAGGAGAGAGCGAGAGACAGATAAAGATAGATAGATAGATAGATAGATAGATAGATAGATAGATAGATAGATAGATAGATAGATAGATAGATAGATAGATAGATAGATAGAGACAGAGAGAGAAAGAGCGAAAAGGAACCTGATCTCGAGTGGTCGATTTCATGCAGACAGCTCAGCGAAAGTTTTTGCGCGTTATCGTCCAACTGTGGATTGTTGAGTCGTCGAGCATATTGAGCTTTCTTTACTGTATACACATCTCGATCTATGCAGTCTATTTGCATACTTGAGCTTTTTCAAGCTAACGTTCAGTGCCGGTTCCTCGTTCGCTCGAGTCCGTCTGCTTCTGCTGGCCCTGTTTTTGTTTTTTTCCTCAACAAACCTCCGACGTACCATCTCGTTGAAATGTCAACCCCACTGGTCTCCCCCTCACCCTGCCTCCAAGGGGGTCGAGAGGTGTGTGATTCTGGCGTGTGACCTCTCGTCAGCGGTTTCTGTGTGATTTTGGCTAGTTGCTCATGCTGCTCGCACCCGCAAGCTCAGAGTTTGGCTTTGTTTTTTGGAAGCACGCATTGACGGGTGCCCTATTCACCGTCAGGAGCGCAGCACGAGTGGGGAAAGCGCTGAACAAGGACCCCCTTCGCGCTCACTCAATGACACCATCACGAAGAATGCACCCATCCTGAGCTCTGAGCTCTGTCACTCAATCTGGTCCAGCTCTTCCCGCGCGGCCCGAATCGCGCTTTCACCCAAACGCAAGAGCGCGCTCAGGCCTAGGCTGACTGTTGAGCTGTTTTGTCTTTTTGTTTGTCGGGGTCGACAGCTGCGGTTTCGTCATCAATCATGGGCAACATTCTGTACGGCGACCTTTACGACCGAGTTCGCAGCGCGAGCGGCACCTACCTGTGAGTCCTCGTGCATCTCAGAATTTATTTCCGAGAAGGCGGCTTTGAGTGCGCAGGATGTCGCGAATGAAGAATGATTTTCACACAACTTTGTTGCTTTGGGACGCAGCCTGCAAAGCCAGTTTATTGGACCGAAGCGAGCTCAAGACGCCGCAAACGGGCTGAAAGAAAACTGCACCTTGCTCATGTTGAAGTGGGTATTGCTCGCATTGCATCGAATGGAACAAGGACGCGATTTTCGAGTTTGACTTTGTGTTCTCGTTTTTTGTTTTTGTTTTTTTTTTTGTGTGTGTGTGTGTGCGCAGCTTTTACCGCAGTGCTGTTGGGGATGTTGGAGCACAAGCTATCGCTGACGCGCTGAAGGTCAACTCGACGCTGACCTGGCTCAAGTGAGGAGAGCATTGATTGTTGTCGAGTATGGTCGTGGTGGGTCAACAATCACCAAAAACTGAATTCTGCGTCCTTGTCTGCGCACAGCCTGTCGGAAAACAACATTGGCGACCTTGGAGCGCAAGCTTTGGCCGAGGCGTTGAAGGTTAACACCGCTTTGACCACGCTTCAGTGAGTATTTCCTTTTGGATTGAGACCATCCACTATCTCTGTTGCGCTGTCGCTACGTTGTACTAACATGCGCTTTGCTCTTTGTATCGGCAGCTTGGGACGGAATAACATTGGTCCACAAGGAGCTCAAGCTCTTGCTGATGCCCTCAAGCTCAACAAAACACTCACAGCACTCCAGTAAGAACTGACCGAGCCAGACAAGCCCCTATTTTCGGTTCCTGCTGATTGACAAAGTCTCTATTCTTGTTACTGCCACCGATCAGTCTGGACTCGAACCGTATCGAGACCGCTGGAGCTCAGGCGATCGCTGACGCGCTGAAGGTGAATCAGAGCTTGACGGAGATTGAGTAAGTTTGCGACTCCTACAACGCTGTGGGGGACAAGCACCATGCGAAGCAACTTTCATTCACGGGTGCCGTGGTCCGCACAGTCTCCAATCAAACCGCATCGGCGCTGGTGCTGGACAGGCGCTTGCCGAGGTCCTGAAGGTCAACCAAGCACTGGCGACCATCAAGTGAGTTAGAGCGGTTTGGGATTTGTGTGCGTGTTCTGAATTGACAAGTGTAGCGCCTCGATGCTGACCGAACAGTGCGCATTCAGTTTGAACATCAACAAGATCGGCGAAGCAGGTGCCGAGGCCATTGCTGACGCGTTGAAGGTCAACCGCACCGTGACCACTCTTCAGTCAGTTTCGCTCATCCTCCGTTTGATGCTCTGCTGCCGAGGAGATGTTGTGATTCGGATTCGAGTGCTGACGGGTGTTTTTCTGGTTTCCTTCTTTCCTCTTCTTTTTCTTCTTCTTCTTCTTCTTCTTCTTTTTCAGCTTGTGGTCAAACGAGATTACCCAGCCTGGAACCCGCGCATTCGCAGCAGCGCTCAAGACCAAACTAGAGTGCGTATGCAATCCTATGAATGCGTTCGAATCGCTGGCCGGAATCTGCTGCTCACTCTTTGGCCTCTTTGGCGTGGTGTTGGATACCATTTGGTTTCTTGCAACAGCGTATCGGGAAACCAAATCGACGATGACACAAGACAGTCCATAGCAATGGCTCGAAGCGTGAGTTTCAATGTCATGTCACGCTGGTGGGGAAAAGATGGGTGATTGGGACTGACTTTTGCACCTTGTGGACGATGTGGTCATTGTCGAATGCATGTTGTTCGATTGTCAGAATGAGGCCGACTGGGTGGTGATTTGAGCTGTCCTGTTCTCCGTTGTTCTTGTTCTCGCTGCACCTTTATTTCTCTAGCCTGCCTTGCATTGTTTGACTGATCACACCTTGCATGGTTTGACTGATCACACAAGCTTCGATCAAATCTAAAAATCCTTTTGTAAAATGGAAAGTCCCAAAATCAGTGGAAATTCAGTGAAAATACAATCCGGACACACAATCGGCTAGACCTCGAACTTTGAGGGGACGGCGTTGTGTGTGCAGTCTAGGTCGGGCTCGATTAGAAAATGGATGGATGCATTCGCGTTCTCCAAGGGAACCGTCGACAGGAGAGGTGGTTCGTGAATGAGGATTTTAGCGTATTCCCACTCTAAGTGAATTGGGTATGGGCGAAAGTGCTTAGACATGTTGTATCAATCAACCGACGATTGCCACAGTGGAAAAAATTTTCCGAATTTCGGAACGACCGAATTTTTTCAAAAATTCGGTTTTTTTCAACTTGCGAATGCTTGAGTTTGGCTTGTTTCTTTCAATCGTAGTATGCAATATATGTTGTTTGCAGTGCATAGTTGTGGAAATTGGACGGCGGGGACTGTCCTGGAACCCGAAACGATGAGGAGGGGAATTGGCGTTCCACAGTGGAAATTTTTTCCCAATTTCGGAACGACCGAATTTTTTCAAAAATTCGGTTTTTTTCAACTTGCGAATGCTTGAGTTTGGCTTGTTTCTTTCAAGCGTAGTATGCAATGTATGTTGTTTGCAGTGCATATTTGTGGAAATTGGACGGCGGGGACTGTCCTGGAACGCGAAACGATGAGGAGGGGAATTGGCTGGCGGTCCATTGCGATCGGCGCTCCTCCTTGCTACTGCTCCCCAGGCCATATCAACGCGCGCCTTTGCATGTCCAGTGACGTGATACAGTTGTGGCACTTTGTTTCTGAGGCGGGGGCGGTCGGGGACGGTCGCACAGACGCAGGAAAGCGCTGTTGACACAACTTCGCAGCCACCACTCAATGACTGCACCAGTGCGCCAATTCTTCACTCAGGATATCTCTCATTCTAGCTACAAATACAATTGATACACTATTCACACGTATTCAAATGCCATGGAATCATGATGAAGTGCTTTGGAGTTGGAAGCAGCTCTGGGAATGGCCAACTTGGTGCAGTTCCATACTCTTGTCAGCGGGCAGACCGCGCTTGCGATGTCGACGTCTGTCTGTAGCGTCAGCCATACTTACAACCAGTCATGGATCCGCTTCAATGGCGGCTGCGCACTGGGTGCAGATACAGCCACGCCAATCTTGAGACGTAAAAGCAGAAGTGAGCTCAAATCGGTCACTTCCCTTACTTTGTTACTGCTGGCAGTCTTGCGGC